AGTCTTCTTGGGTATGACACTACAAGCTTGGCACAACTGTATTTGGGGAGTTTCTCTCATTCTTCTCTGCAGATCCTCTCAAGCTCTGTCAGGTTGGATGGGGAGCGTCGTTGCACAGCTATTTTCAGGTCTCTCCAGAGATGCTTGATTGGGTTCAAATCCGGGCTCTGGCTGGGCCACTCAAGGCCATTCAGAGACTTGTCCCGAAGCCACTCCTGCGTTGTCTTGGCTGTGTGCTTGGGGTCATTGTCCTGTTGGAAGGTGAAACTTCACCCCAGTCTGAGGCTCTGCAGCAGGTTTTCATCAAGGATCTCTCTGTACTTTGCTCCGTTCATCTTTCCCTCAAGCCTGACGTGTCTCCCAGTCCCTGCTGCTAAAAAACATCCCCACAGCGTGATGCTGCCACCACCATGCTTCACCGTAGGGATGGTGCCAGGTTTCCTCCAGACGTGACGCTTGGCATTCAGCCCAAAGAGTACAATCTTTGTTTCATCAGACCAGAGAATCTTGTTTCTCATTGTCTGAGTCCTTTAAGCGCCTTTTGGCAAACTCCAAGCCGGCTGTCATGTGCCTTTTACTGAGGAGTGGCTTCCGTCTGGCAACTCTACCATACAGGCCTGATTGGTGGAGTGCTGTAGAGATTGTTGTCCTTCTGGAAGATTATCCCATCTCCACAGAGGAACTCTGGAGCTCTGTCAGAGTGACCATCAGGTTCTTGGTCACCTCCCAGACCAAGGCCCTTCTCCCCCGAATGCTTAGTTTGGCCGGGTGACCAGCTCTAGGAAGAGTCTTGGTGGTTCCAAACTTCTTCCATTTAAGAATGATGGAGGCCACTGTGTTCTTGGGGACCTTCAATGCTGCAGACATTTTTTGGTACCCTTCCCCAGATCTGTGCCTCGACACAATCCTGTCTCTGAGCTCTACAGACAATTCCTTCAACCTCATGGCTTGGTTTTTGCTCTGACATGCACTGTCAACTGTGGGACCTTATACAAACAGGTGTGTGACTTTCCAAATCATGTCCAATCAATTGAATTTACCACAGGTGGACTCCAATGAAGTTGTAGAAACATCTCAAGGATGCTCAATGGAAACAGGATGCACCTGAGCTCAATTTCGAGTCTCATAGCAAAGGGTCTGAATACTTATGTAAATAAGGTATTTCAGATTTTTATTTTTAATAAAGGTGCTAACATTTCTAAAAACCTGTTTTCGCTTTGTGATTATGGGGTATTGTGTGTAGATTTATGAGGAAAACCATTTATTTAATACATTTTAGAATATGGCTATAACGTAACAAAATGTGGAAAAAGTCAAAGGGTCTGAATGCTTTCCGAATGCACTGTATGAGTCAATTTAGCCTATTGTACCTTGTATTAGTTCTGATCATGTATTATGTTGGATGTGCGCTCACAATCTAATTGTTATTTGTCCAATGATTTTTGTAATTTCTGAACTTTAATTGAAGAGATAGAACAGTGTTGGAAAGACAGGGAAGATAGACGGAGGGTGAGTCAAAGGGCAGTGGGCTGGATTCAAACCCATTGTACAGTAAGTGTCTGCACCACACAGGCACTGAGGCCACCAATCATTTATTCTGCCTATTGCTTGCCTTGAACATATAGTAAAACAATTGATCTAAAAAAAACTGATTTTCCCTAACGGAAAATACATCTACCCCCGACAAATATGTCAATTTATTATAATCCACATAAGAATTCACACGAGACGCATTGTAGCCTGCACTAAACCTAAGGCTACTTCAACTGGCACTCAGTGGACCTGCAGTAAAGGTACAATGTAGGTACGGTACTGCATTGTATACAAACACCGCTTCCATCTGCCCCCTGGCAGCGATTATAAATATTTCTTTAGATTTTCAAATCCTCCTGCTTCAGGATTACTTTCCTCCTGCAATGAAATGGGTCAACTTAAGATCCGACAGCTGTAGGAAATGCAATCCCTAAAAGGGAAAAGTATTCTTCATTCACCCACAAAGTCCTCCTCTATCAGTGCCATAGACAGTTGCCAGTCCTTAGTAGCCTACATTTCCACCGAACAACCCTGGACATCAGCATTCAGTGGAGGAGTATGCAGCCGGCCCAGACAGGGACAACGTGGATGGAAATTTCACAGCCATTTCCATGACACAGCGTCAACTAGAACTCTGTGCCTGACAGTATGTTACTCATTTACAGAGCAGCTGCCCTTATCCAAAGCAATTTCCATTGCTTACAATTTTCATACCGTACATTTTCAGGACAGATGGATGTTTAGTGCAGTAATCAAAGTGAATTGCTTCTCCCCTGGGTAAACCAGAAGTGATCCCTCTGGGGCCCTGAGCTTTGAGACTTCAGACTACAGTCTTGACAAAGCACAACATGGCTCATTGAAACTGCTGTATCTCAAGGTTACCGTATTGACGCACATACAGTGGGGTCTGAAATTATTGACACCCTTTTCATGTCATCTGACCAAAGCACCGGTTCCAATCCAAGTGCCACTCCAGGCGTTTACATTTGTTGGATGACATGACAATAGAGCTCTTTGGCCACGCATGCCAGTGGTGGGTTTGGCGTTCAAACCTGGATGCCTCTGCCAGGAGGCTGAAACCTGGATGCCTCTGCCAGGAGGCTGAAACCTGGATGCCTCTGCCAGGAGGTTGAAACCTGGATGCCTCTGCCAGGAGGCTGAAACCTGGATGACTCTGCCAGGAGGTTGAAACCTGGATGCCTCTGCCAGGAGGTTGAAACCTGGATGCCTCTGCTAGGAGGCTGAAACCTGGATGACTCTGCCAGGAGGTTGAAACCTGGATGCCTCTGCCAGGAGGCTGAAACCTGGATGACTCTGCCAGGAGGTTGAAACCTGGATGCCTCTGCCAGGAGGCTGAAACCTGGATGCCTCTGCCAGGAGGTTGAAACCTGGATGCCTCTGCCAGGAGGCTGAAACCTGGATGACTCTGCCAGGAGGCTGAAACCTGGATGACTCTGCCAGGAGGTTGAAACCTGGATGCCTCTGCCAGGAGGTTGAAACCTGGATGCCTCTGCCAGGAGGCTGAAACCTGGATGACTCTGCCAGGAGGTTGAAACCTGGATGCCTCTGCCAGGAGGCTGAAACCTGGATGACTCTGCCAGGAGGTTGAAACCTGGATGCCTCTGCCAGGAGGCTGAAACCTGGATGCCTCTGCCAGGAGGCTGAAACCTGGATGCCTCTGCCAGGAGGTTGAAACCTGGATGCCTCTGCCAGGAGGCTGAAACCTGGGTGCCTCTGCCAGGAGGTTGAAACCTGGATGCCTCTGCCAGGAGGCTGAAACCTGGGTGCCTCTGCCAGGAGGGTGAAACCTGGATGCCTCTGCCAGGAGGCTGAAACTTGGCCGCAAGTGTATCTTCCAGCAAGACTATAACCCCAAGCACACCATAAAATTAACATTTTGCCACCTCAGTCTCTGGAGCTGAAACCCATTGAAAACTGAAAACAGCGGTTTGAATTGAAGAGGGCAGTCCATAAGCGCATATGAATGATATCAAGGATCTGGAAGGATTCTAGATGGAGGAGTGGTCTAAGATCCTTCTCAAGGTGTAGATTAAGGGTCAGTGCCATTACCCTCACAAGGTAAGGTATTGAAAGGTATTGAAAACTTTTTGAGATTTTATTTTATTACTTGTTAAACAAAATCTCTTTCTCTGAGAAATTGTATTCCTATAAAATAATATAATTTCCCAATTTGTTTGAGCATACAATACAACGAAAATGTTTTTATTTTATACAGTCATTTTTGCTCATCTTTATCAAGGGTGTCAATCATTTTGGACCCCATAATACATTGACGTAAATTAGTACATAGACACAATATAGGCTTCTATGATAGACATCAAATGCAATAGTAATCTATACCTAGACTGCAGGCTCAGAAAGGATGCAAATAGTCCAGGTAGCCATTTGATTAATTGTTCAGAAGTCTTATGGCTAGGGGGTAGAAGCTGTTAGGAAGCCTTATGGACATAGACTTAGCGTTCCGGGTACCGCTTGCCGTGCGTTAGCAGAGAGAACAGTCTATGACTTGGGTGGCTAGAGTCTTTGACCATTTTTGGGCCTAATTAAGATCTTAATGGTGGATTCTCATGTTTTATTATTGTTGATGTGATCAAAGACTTCATCAACTTCAAAGGCTTCAACTACTGAATTGGAGGCAGTCAGTGGGTCAATTGGGGGAATCATTGTCTTCCGCACCTGCAGCGTGAAACAAAGAAGCTTTACATGAGCAATCGTTACACTCTGAGAATAATAATCATATATGGGTTTTTCACAATGTCAAAAGTAAGGGATCAGATACTAAAAGAGGTTTATTTCTGTGAGTTATTTGTTTATCCTCCACATCCAATGTATAGGCAACTTAGTTCACCATTAACTTCTAACAGCTCTAGGTTTACTGTACACACTGACCACTATGAAGACTGTAATGTACACTGATACTATGCCCTCTGGTGGCCACTGGGCACACCTTAGCGCTGACCATCATAATGGCTCCAGTGCAATGAGTAGTGGAAGGAGTCATTGTAATGACTGTAGAACGTGGAATAAAGGGCAGTTGCAAGTAGGCCTAGATTATTGTAGACATTAACATAAAAAACAAAAAACAAATAATTTCTCACCATGATAGACATACTGAAATGGCTTCAAATAAAATCATGCAATTTTAAAGCTTTATGGAGATAGACCTATCTACTGTCAACCAATACCCCTATCTGCCAAGCAAAACACTCCATACATTATAAGTCCTAGAATATATTGAAAATTGACTACAAAATGTACTTGAAAGGCTTCTTTTCAAAAAGTACTTGAAAGGCTTATTTTCAAAGAATACTTGAAATGCTTCTTTTCAAAAAGTACTTGAAAGGCTTCTTTTCAAAAAGTACTTGAAAGGTGTTCTACTACAAGGATTTCAAGGAAAGTCTGTCAGTTCCGATGAGGTCAACAAACCGTTAAATTGTATGGTGACAATGGTGGCTGACCAGCTGCCTCATTCGAAAACATCCAACGTCTGGCCGAATTCCAGAATAGGTGACGAGCTGGGCTGGTGCTGGTTCAGCAGAGTGGCCTAGCCTCACTGGAGGAGCCTGTTAATTGGAGCTGAGAGGATTGTCTTAAAATGGAAAGTTACGACAGAAGCCGCTGTCCATCTCTCTAATATTAGACCTCAGAGGAGCCTACCTACACAAGCAACCAGCAAAGAGGTAGTGCGGTGGTCATCTTATCCAGAAGGTTCATGGTAGAGAAATAGGCTTAACTTCAACAAACAAGATAAAGTACTAACGGCAGCCATGTTGGTATGGTATGGTACAGTATCTGGCCCCGTGTAGCTCAGTTGGTAGAGCATGGCGCTTGCAACGCCAGGGTTGTGGGTTCGTTTCCATGAAAATAAAAATAAAATAAAATTATGCACTCACTAACTGTAAGTCGCTCTGGATAAGAGCGTCTGCTAAATGACTCAAATGTAAATATACAGTGGGGAAAAAAGTATTTAGTCAGCCACCAACTGTGCAAGTTCTCCCACTTAAAAAGATGAGAGAGGCCTGTAATTTTCATCATAGGTACACGTCAACTATGACAGACAAAATGAGAAAAGAAAATCCAGAAAATCACATTGTAGGATTTTTTATTAATTTATTTGCAAATTATGATGGAAAATAAGTATTTGGTCAATAACAAAAGTTTCTCAATACTTTGTTATATACCCTTTGTTGGCAATGACACAGGTCAAACGTTTTCTGTAAGTCTTCACAAGGTTTTCACACACTGTTGCTGGTATTTTGGCCCATTCCTCCATGCAGATCTCCTCTAGAGCAGTGATGTTTTGGGGCTGTCGCTGGGCAACACGGACTTTCAACTCACTCCAAAGATTTTCTATGGGGTTGAGATCTGGAGACTGGCTAGGCAACTCCAGGACCTTGAAATGCTTCTTACGAAGCCACTCCTTCGTTGCCCGGGTGGTGTGTTTGGGATCATTGTCATGCTGAAAGACCCAGCCACGTTTCATCTTCAATGCCCTTGCTAATGGAAGGAGGTTTTCACTCAAAATCTCACGATACATGGCCCCATTCATTCTTTCCTTTACACGGATCAGTCGTCCTGGTCCCTTTGCAGAAAAACAGCCCCAAAGCATGATGATTCCACCCCCATGCTTCACAGTAGGTATGGTGTTCTTTGGATGCAACTCAGCATTCTTTGTCCTCCAAACACGACGAGTTGAGTTTTTACCAAAAAGTTATATTTTGGTTTCATCTGACCATATGACATTCTCCCAATCCTCTTCTGGATCATCCAAATGCACTCTAGCAAACTTCAGACGGGCCTGGACATGTACTGGCTTAAGCAGGGGGACACGTCTGGCACTGCAGGATTTGAGTTCCTGGCGGCGTAGTGTGTTACTGATGGTAGGCTTTGTTACTTTGGTCCCAGCTCTCTGCAGGTCATTCACTAGGTCCCCCCGTGTGGTTCTGGGATTTTTGCTCACCGTTCTTGTGATCATTTTGACCCCACGGGGTGAGATCTTGCGTGGAGCCCCAGATCGAGGGAGATTATCAGTGGTCTTGTATGTCTTCCATTTCCTAATAATTGCTCCCACAGTTGATTTCTTCAAACCAAGCTGCTTACCTATTGCAGATTCAGTCTTCCCAGCCTGGTGCATGTCTACAATTGTGTTTCTGGTGTCCTTTGACAGCTCTTTGGTCTTGGCCATAGTGGAGTTTGGAGTGTGACTGAGGTTGTGGACAGGTGTCTTTTATACTGATAACAAGTTCAAACAGGTGCCATTAATACAGGTAGCGAGTGGAGGACAGAGGAGCCTCTTAAAGAAGAAGTTACAGTTCTGTGGGAGCCAGAAATCTTGCTTGTTTATAGGTGACCAAATACTTATTTTCCACCATAATTTGCAAATAAATTCATTAAAAATCCTACAATGTGATTTTCTGGAGAAAAAAATTCTCAATTTGTCTGTCATAGTTGACGTGTACCTATGATGAAAATTACAGGCCTCTCTCATCTTTTTAAGTGGGAGAACTTGCACAATTGGTGGCTGACTAAATACTTTTTTTCCCCACTGTATCTCTATCTGGGATCCATTCACATGTTTAGCTGCTAATGTTTAGCTGATCATGTATGTTTTTGCAGTGCCGTAGAGGGTCTTTATCGGGAAAGAAACAGCTTCAGAGCATCAGTATGAGAGAGTATTCCTTTCCTTTGATTTCACTGTATAGTCACGTTGCTATGATCAAGTCTATTTCTCTATTTACACAGAAAGCGAGCGCGCACGCCCGCACGCACGGACACACACACGGTTAATATGCAGTGTGGTCAGTCATTCCTTTATTATAGTGCCAGCGGCCTCACAAAAAGGCCTCAAGTCTGGTAAAGTAATCACTCCTGACAGCTGGTCAGAGTGATGCTTCCTCCTTGCCGTAATTAAAGCAGACCCCTGTAATTGGGCAATGATTTAAGTCATCGTCCCGTTAGGAGGTCAAGCAGGACATGGAAGGATTCATTGCTCTACAGTGTAACATCTCAGTCACTTTTTGTTCAACATTACAGCTCAGTCAACCAGGTGTGTTTTGGCGCTATTTTACAACCTAATACTGTTCCTGATTTAGTGCCGAAAGAGGATGAACTCTTCCGTTTCCATGGGCGTTATGACATTTCATATTTCAACATGTCCGTTTCTCCGGGTAGGGTTTTAGGTTAGGCACAAACACACCTTGGCCCTAACCCACCAACCCTAACCTTCACCTTAATCCTAAACCTAACCTTAAACCTGCTCTTAACTATGAACCTTATCTCTATCTCAAAACGTAACCCAAAGGAGAGGTGAATGGGTGAATCCAGTGGGGTTAAATGGGTGAATCCAGTGGGTGAATGGGTGAATCCAGTGAGGTGAATAGGTGAATCCAGTGGATGAATGGGTGAATCCAGTGAGGTGAATGGGTGAATTGGTGAATCCAGTGTGTGAATGACTGAATCCAGTGAGGTGAATTGGTGAATGGGTGAATCCAGTGGGTGAATGGGTGAATCCAGTGAGGTGAATCCAGTGGGTGCATGGGTGAATCCAGTGGGTGAATGGGTGAATGCTGTGCTGAATGTAGCTGATCACTCATCCTCTGTGATGGACAGTGAGCCTCCCCTGGAGCTTTCTCATCCCACTGTCACACGACAATGGATGTTCACTTTAACTAGGTGATACCTGCTAGAGCCTGCTTACCCCACAGGCAGTAAGGGTGATCGGCAGCACACTCAGCATGCTTTCTACCAAAGCACTTTGTACTTAGAGTTCATTTCAGACTAAAGCCAATGTACTATACTAAACTTGACATGCTATGATATTTTGGATGGTTGCAAGATATGTAATGACTAGGTGAAAAATCTGTCATGTGCACTTGAGCAAAGCAAGTGCACTGCTCCTGTAAGTCGCTCTGGATAAGAGCGTCTGCAAAATGAAAAAAATATGTAAATGTAATAAAGCACGTACAATTGATTGTTAATGGTAAATACATGCGTAAGATCTGTGAAATTGCATTTTGGTAACAATTTCCCAAAGCATATCCTGACAAAAAACATAATCATATTATGTGAAGCTTCTATAAATGGCTTGTAGCTGTAATATTGGTTATGAATGTTGTAGGTTTTCATAAAGTTACGATTATATTATAAATGTCTGCTCTGAATTTAAAAACAATAATTAAATTACAATTTGATAGAGTTATCTCTAGGTCCATCATTACAGTGTACTTGAGGTGTGTTCTCAGAAACAACGCAGCAGGATGCGACACCTATTCTGACTTATTGACAGTTAAAAAGCAACGTAAATTGTCGAAAGTGCCTCAAGGTCAAAGTTCAGTGTTCCCCTGGATGGATTTGTCCTGAAGAGGCTTATTTATGGCAGTAAAAATGTATAACATGCTAGGGCTGGTAATCCTCTTGTCAGCTTGGGGAGCTGAGTGGAAACCACCACAGAACAGTTCAGGGTTCAGGTCCACACCAGCCCTTTAACAGGAAGGAGGAGGAAGCAACAATAAGAGAGCTGCTCTACCACCCACCCAGAGCATGGATAAAGCACATTGTGTCAGTCTGGGAGTTGGACGTCCAGTAGGCCAGTGCTTGTGCCCATAGAAATGAACATGGCACGTGCGCGCAGGGGGGGCGCGGGATGTTCCCCAATGCTAGAAGGGGGTTCCAGAGTGAAAAGGTTTCATTGTTACGTGTTCCCAAACCTTTTCACTCTGGAACCCCTTCTAGCATTGGGGAACATCCCGCGGAGAGAATTTTGCACGTTTAAAGCTTATTTCCTACAATTCTACAGATTTTGTCATGGGCTAATTTTTTTGCAAATCTATACATTTTGCCATGTCTAACATGTACTCGTGATATTTGAGTGACTAAAAAATTAGAACAAAATCTATGGGCTAAAAAACCTAAATAAAAAACAGCTGACATGGGCTAGTTGATCTGGAATTTTATAAATAACTCTCTAAGGTATGCAATGACTAACATGACAAGAGGAACTGATTATGCACTATCCAATTTCGAAATTCTACTATTACAACTTTCAAGAGTATGTTTAAAGCCAGACGGAGTAAATAAAATAAATAACAATAGCCTTGCTTGGCAGACTGTGAGTGTGGCGCTTCAAAGAGGATCTGGTGTGAGCTAGCCTGAACAGAGTGAGCATTGTGTGGACGGCACAGAAAATCTAGCCTCGTCTGGGAGCTGAGAGACTGAGGATCAGGGTAACAGGGACACTGACTGGACACTATAGGGCCGTAGGTCGACGGGCCCCGCTGACTGACTGACAGATGAGGCTCCAGAAGGGCCCTAATAGGATGAGGCTAGGCCCCCACCACGTGGCCAGGGAGGGATTACGCTGAGCGAGCAGAAGGTAAACAGATTATTCCCGAAACTGAACTTGCTTTTTGAACCTCGTCACCGTTATCACACTTATACCGACAGTGGAGTAACTTGGAGTTCCTTTCCATGCCCCCTCACCTTGGCACCTTTTTCAATCCTTCGTCCAGGTCTGCAGGGATCATTGACTGACTCAAAGATCAAACCAGGATTCTAACTCCAGGATTCTAACTCCAGGATTCTAACTCCAGGATTCTAACTCCAGGATCTAACTCCAGGATTCTAACTCCAGGATTCTAACTCCAGGATTCTAACTCCATCTGCTAAACCCTAACTGGAGCCAAGACAATAGTGCACTTCCCCTCTTTTGGATCTAGAGCCTAGAGACTTTGTCACCAGCGACAATATATTTTTCCTCATGGACTCGAGATAAAGGTTTTGAGTGACTTTCCTTTGGTTTCCAAATGAAAACTTTTTGGCTCTGAAAGGACCTAAACTAGTCCATCATGCATTTGAGAACGGGACTGTTCCTCACCCTATTTCTCTTTACCCTTGCAGCCCCACGAATCAAAGGTAAGCTCTCACTCCAGGGACCTGTCTGGCTTGTTGTTTTGTTTCCTGTCGCACAGTGTAATTGAAGTTAAATTATGCTGTGTTCTTTCACAATGAGGGAGATATGGTGTGCATGCTTGAGTACAGTACATTCTTGAAGGTTCTGATCAGAGGGCAGAACCATTGTGGTATGACAAATTGACTATTCGCAAATCTCTCATTAAAAGTTTTTACAAAGGTTGTGACCTGCTTGCTGCATTACGTAAGAGGACTTCCACAGAGAGCAGTGTGATCCACTTGACTTCGACCTACACTCAATCAAGGGCCACAGCATTTACAGCTGCTTTAGCCAGCAAATACAGCATCAGCTCATCCTACCTGTCAAACTTGAATCCATGTATTTTTTTGCATTGATTTGAATATACATTCCTATAGAAATGTAATAAACCTGGAGGGAAAACTGTTAGGCCACATTACACAAGTCACTATTGGTTACATTGAGCTAGGTGATCCCCATGAACACATTTTCTAAAATTCTGCAAAACCTTTGCATTAGCCGACCTCTGTTGGGTCCAGATTCTGGCTGGATTGTGTCTTCGGTCCGTTCATTATCCCAAAAGAAACAAAGGCATTCTGTTCTCAGTGGTGCTCGACACTAATCTTTTCTGGCTTGTAGCTCTGCTCTGTGAGGCCCTCAATGTAGTGTTCCGCATTAGGGGCCATTTCCCCTGCAGGCCCTCATGCTAGCCCATGTGCATGTCAGAATCTTCATTCCTCACTGAGCACATTTCACATTGTGTCTTATTTGTTTGTCAATATGTTCTCTAATTGGAGAATAAGTCTGGGTTTTGCGGCTAATAGTCCCCATTCTGAACCTAGCATTTGATCTTTGAGGTTTATTGCTGTCTAGTTGGGGTTGAGTGTTTGGGTGGTTGTGGTGGGGGCAAATGTCTTTGGCATTGGGCAGCGACTGCCCCACTTTGAGTCAAACAATGGATCACAGATCACCCACACATTATTGGCATAGATTTCTCTGTAACGGGCCAAATTGGGACCGGCAGCACCTTTGATCAAAATAAATATTGATCCTTATTACGGTTGGTATGTGTATGATATCACACTTCAATTAACCCAATGTTTCTGTGACAATGGGAACTGGATATCCTGGTACTGGACAGTGAGAGACACAGACTATAGTGTTCTGACTAAACAAGCTAGTTTTGTGAATTACCATATCAGACAGCCTGGATTAGCAGTGTCTGTCTACCAACCATCTCATCTACTGAGTTTATACATTGTAATCTCTCAAACAAGGCACTTTCTGGCCACCTCTCCGTGGTCAAAGTATATAAATCGTTTTCACTGATTTCTTTGTGGCCTCTACTGTCTAATCCCCCTAGCCTCTGTTAGGAACTCATTGAGCCAGGGGCTTAATGTCTTAAATGTCCAATGCAACCGTTTTTTTCTAATTTCTGGGTAACAATTAAGTACCTTACTGTGATTGTGTTCAATAGTCCAAAATAAACAAAAATAGCTTCTTAGCAAAAAGCTATTTCTCAAGCAAGAATTTAGTTAGGACTGTCTGGGATTGGTCTGAATGAGGGACCTAATTGGAGGAGCCAAATGGGAGGGATATGTAACCTGAAAACGAGCTATTATTGGCAGAGAGGTTTGAAACTCTCTTTGTTATTGGTCTATTAACTTATACCGCTTGGTGATGTCGCCAGGCAGGCCAAAACTCCACCCCTGCAAAACTAGCAGATATTTTAGGCGGTCTTTTCAAACAGCTCTTACACTATTATTCCAACTTCGTAGAAATAGATATATAAAACACAAGAAAATCCCATTTTTGACTGCACTTCCCCTTTAAGAAAGCCTCTGGAGTTTACCACCTGGTTCCTGTAAAGCATGCCTTAAAAAATTAGCTCACTTTGAATGGAGTGACTGTATTCACTGGCCTAATTGTCGTTCATAACACCATGGCACTACCTTGCTGCGACGGACAAGACTGTGAAATGGGGGAAGTGGAGATCTTGTGTTTCCTGAATAAAGTAAAGCCAGCTAGGTCTGACTCTAATACGGCACTGGTCTGAAGGACTTTGAAATAACATTGGTCAGTCATAATTGTTACAGTTAAGGTGATCTAACCTGTTATTGTCCTACTATGTCATTCACAAACAACCACTGACAAATTGTATTTGTCACATGCGCCGAATACAACATGTGTAGACCTTACAGTGAAATGCTTACTTACATGCCCTTAAACAACAATGCAATTTTGTAAAAAATGTATAACAAAATTATTAAAATAACAAATAATTAAAGAGCAGCAGTAAAATAACAGTAGCGAGGCTATATACAGCGGGTACCGGTACAGAGTCAATGTGCGGAGGCACAGGTTAATCGAGGCTATAGCTTTATGAAGAGTCATTGTACAAGGATATGATGTCATTCGAAACAAATGCTGAGCATTGATGACTTTCAATCAAACACTTGCTCTTGAATCCCTTTGGAGATGCTCAACATGAACTAGTTTCATTGTGCTTCCAAAATTAGACTTAGTATCCCCTCAGTGACAGTGAGGGACAGTGAGGGACAGTAGTCCACTTAGAACGCTGGACAGTGGCCATTAGGTACAGTAAAGTCTTGACTGTTTTAGTAGCTACCATTTTAAATACTCTTCTGAGTCAGTTCAGGTTAGCCTGAGACACTGTTTGGGAAAGAAAGCAGCATACATCTTCTGCATCTTATATTGCCAAATGACAAAAAATATATACACGGATTGGTGCAGTGAAATGTGTTGTTTTACAGGGTCAGCCATAGTAGTACGGCGCCCCTGGAGCAAATTAGGGTTAAGTGCCTTGCTCAAGGGCACAGACAGATTTTTCACCTTGTCGGCTCTGGTATTTGATCCAGCGACCTTTGGGTTACTGGCCCAACACTCTAACTGCTAGGCTACACTATATTTAGGCATATTTGGCCAAAAAGGTATGGTAAGATAACCATTTCTAATATGTATTTTGTAGACCTACAGGTCCAAGATTTGTCTGGAATCCGAGATGTCAAATACAGACACTTCCTAGAGAGTATAAGACCAGTCAAACACACCACCAATGTCAAAATGATAAAGGACCTGGACAGGCACCGGACGAAGAGGTCGACGTTCTTCACCACAGGGGTGAAAATATGTCCTCAAGAGAAGATGAAGGAGGTCATCTCCAGCCATCGGGCCTACTACAAACTTAGAGGTAAGGGCATGGTGCTAGCGGCGCAAAGGTTGTGGGTTCAATTCCTGCTGGGGTCACATACGCAAAAAATGTATGCACTCCCAGTACTGTCGCGTCGGATAAAAGTGTCTGCTAAATGGCATATATAAGGGCGTGGATCTAATGAGAACAGGAAAATATCATATAAATCCTTAATATTCATATTGCACTAACTGTAAGTCGCTCTGGATAAGAGCATCTTCTAAATGACTAAAATGTAAATAGTCATGGGACACCTTCAGACAGTGGGATGATTAAGCTAGTCTAAAAACAGTGGCTCTGAACTATGTCCTATTTTCCTAGAGAGATAAAGGAGTTAAACAGAAAATCTCTCACTAAATTTAACAGTTTAATAAATAATTGCTGGCTTTTAAGTTATGGTTGAGACTTTACAATGTGGGAGAAGTTTAACTTCTTAATCACACAATAATATAGATGTTCACTTAAATCCTTTCATAAGCCCTCGGAAAGTCATGTTATGCAGATTTTATGCATAGATTCTGTTGAGTGACTGGCTAAATTCAGGGACGGAGTGACATTGAGGTGAGGGTATTCAAACAGTGAATATATCGTGGAAATAATAACTTGCGAAATGCAAGAGAATGTCTCGCAGGCGTAAACATATTGGATCATTCAAGTGGTTTGTTGCTCCTCATAACAGAAGTAAACACAACAAAAGCTTTAGGGCTTTTTGTGATTCATGTTTCTAACATTCCCGACCATCAGGGACGAGTACATTTCGTTCCCGCATTGGGAAGTGACATTTAACTGATACATTATTCAAAGCTGTCCAATCATATTAACGGTATGCGTCAAAATAGTTAGTCCAAACCTAGGCCGTAATGAATCCATTATTGAGTCTTGTCTTACACGTATGCGCTAATGAGATGCAAATACATTGACTTGCCATTTAGTCTATATGCTAAGAGTTGTTCTCACACAGGTCTTTATTCAGCATTCTGATATGTTTGACTATACTTTTAGTTTGTCAGGAAGCGATATGGGAGGCTTTCCGTATCTTCTTGGACAGGGTTCCTAACTCCGAGGAGTACAAACACTGGACCTACGCCTGCCAGCATGGCTCTCTCTGTCTGGACGAGGTGGCCAGGAACTTCAGCAGTACACAGGAACACATTGACATGGTGGCCAGAGTGAGTAATAAAACCTTCATGCATTTCCATGCATCATAGTAATAAGAGTAACATTGAGGGGTAATAACAGTGATGAAGATATAGTATGTTATTCTATATTTTGAATTTGAGTGTCGGTTTGTTTTTTAGAGAGTTGCTGAACAGGAGAAGATCCAGAAAGAAAGGTAGGTAGAGCAAATGTTGGAGAAATTGTCGATGTTATTTAGAGATATCACAAGAAGTAGGCCTGCAATGTTTAAATCAAACTGATGCTCAACACCCTTCCGGCATGAATTTTCAACTGACTACCTTATTTTATCAATTGTATTCTAATGTAATATGGTGTTTGAAAACAAAATAGATGTTAAAAAAATCTTAAATCAATGTTTCATACCCCATTGTTATTTTAGCTTTCACTACAAAGTTCTAAAATGGCTAGCAACCATCTCCAGAGACAAACTTCTCTAAACAGTTGTTCAGAAAGGTTTAAATTATAATAGTAAAAAGTAATCATGACCAAAAACACTCACTCGCTGTTGCAGCAAGGATCATTATTGTTATTTTATTGTGTTACTTTTGATTTATATTGTTTTATTGTATTTTTTGCAAATATTTTCTTACTTTAGGGTTTGTAAGTAAACATTTCACGGTAAGCTCTACACCTGTTGCATTCAGCGCATGTGACAAATACAATTTGATTTGATTTGATTTAATTGGTAGAAGGCAAAAACAGGTCAACTCAAATAACCCTCCTCAGCTCTCTAAACTGATGGAGCCTGTACACCTGGTGGCCTGAGTTAACATACAACTCTGACCTGACCCACCTTCTCTGTGGATCACAGCCCAAACAACTTGGGTGACAGGATGATCATGGTAGGATTCTGGACCAAGGCCTAGAGAGCAAGAAACCACCTTTTGACCTTTTGTACATTTTGTAATTGTTGTCAAATTTGTATTCTTGATTTCCAGCAGTGAAGTACCAAGAGCTGGAGGAACTGAGATCGAGAAATGTAAGTACTCCACATTCATCCATACATTATGCTAAATGTAATAATACAACATCCCGGAATTAATGCACAACGCTTACTTTGTAGGCTCAAAAACTCCATCAGAACTGTTTAGCATTCCGAATGAAGCAGGGGACGTAAGTTCAATCATATTTTCTGAGGGCTACCTTGCCTTGGCTTTATAATCTTGGTTGAACATTGACAGTCTCGTTGATTGAAAATGACATCGCTGCTTTTGCTTTCCACAGATAACAGAGATTCCAAACATTGTACCAGAGGAGGCGGTTATTGAGGAGCAGATAGTGGAGTTCAGTGTCACCATAGCAGACCCTGGCTACAGTGAACTTCTTCTGAGAGACCCTGCAGCTCCCCAGTACCATGACATCACACGCGATCTCCACGATACGGTGAGGCGAACTGGGAGGATTTGTCCTTGAAAAGTCTTAATAACTATGAACAAATAAATTAGCCTTTGTTGCAGAGATGGGTTTAGTGAACTACACAATGACTAACCTTGACTGAGGCCTGTTGACTCATTTTAGCTCCCAGAGCTAATGCCTAGGCTTTAGCTCAATGGGCTAACATAGGTGGGCGGCGCACAATTGGCCCAGCGTCGTCCAAGGTAGGGGAGGGAATGGCCGGCAGGGATGTAGCTCAGTTGATAGAGCATGGCGTTTGCAACGCCAGGGTTGTGGGTTCGATTCCCACGGGGGGCCAGTATAAAAACAATACAAAAATAAAAATATGTATTCACTAACTGTAAGTCGCTCTGGATAAGAGCGTCTGCTAAATGACTAAAATGTCATGTAAATGAGTCACCCAGATGACTCAGGTATGATACCTGGTGTGTTAGATTACTAAGACATTCACATATGTAAGAATTTATTATATCACACTCTTTAAGGTAATACCTTTATTGAAGAACTGATTGTTGGCCACATAATTAGGTAGGCCTTGTGTGGGACAATCCTTATAATGCCTCATTGTATATTGCTTCCATAGGCATAGATAGCCATTACACAGAGGGAAATGTGAGCAGTGATTTGAGATAATCACAAGCTCCTTCAGCAAAAGAGTTTTGCAAAGGATTGCAAATGTCTCAAGTCTTTTGCAGGCATACAATATTTGTGAATTATTATTTATTTCCACCATGAATGCCTTTTCCTAGTCTAGAATTTCTAACATCCCAAATGAGCTTGTGCTTTTTAAGAAGCTTATGATAACGGTAAATCCAGCAGTGTATTGGGCAACATCAAAAGACTGAATTGGATTTGTAACCCCAGCTCATGAATGATTCCTAGAGAAAATGCATGCCTTCCGGATAAAGAAGAAATTCACAAAGGTCTGTTGACGGCACATAGATTATTCTACAGTGAGAGATCCATATTATAATGCAAGCTATTTCTCTGTGTTGGTTATATATTTTCCATTTGTGTGATGTTATTTTGTTTAGAATGATTATTGCCCCAGAGAGAATGCTGCATAAATCTAAGAAAGATGTGTTATGTAAACATAACCATCAAATGTCTCTTTTCCACAGATGGTTCACGTTTTTGACAAACTTCCTGGGTATAAAGATCTTCGTGTTTTGGGATTTCGGTTGGTTGAATTTAGGTAGGTTGTTCAAGGAACTGTGAAGGTACTAACAAGTCAGCCAAATATTTCATTCCATTGAACAGGCTCCATTTGACATACATACTCGCTGCGCAGAGTGATGCTGTCTCATTAGCAAAGGAATAACAAAACAGTGTTCCATTAGTCAGAGGTCTTTCAAACTTTGGCATTTGCTATATTTGCTCAAATGCTTAGATAAGAAATGCTGTGAGAAATACATACTATTTCCCTAATATAAGCTCTGCTTTGTTGACAGATCTGATGATGTGTCAGTCCGCTATGCTGTGGTGTTTGAGACGAGTGGAGAAGACCATGACAAAGAATCTAGAACCACTCAAGAACCAGGCACAGGGACAGTTGTTTACACAAACGGGCACAGACTGAAGGATCTGGTTTCCAAGGCCTTGAGCGAGGAGACGTCCCTGCCTGTGGACATACAAACACTCAGTTTTGAACCTGGTAAGCTTAATTTAAAGCTCAGGTCAACTGGGATATAATCTTTGAGGAGATGCTAACTTTAATATTTTCCCTTCAGATCCGACTTTTTCTCTACGCGAGGAGTTGGAGTCGACCACCTTGGAGACCTTGCTAGAGGAGTTTGTCGGGCACACCGAAGGTTTCTTACCAACTGTTGCTGTCGGAGAGGACTATCTTGAGGCTTTTACAGACACACCTGAGGAACTCACTGTTGTGCCTTTAAGTGACTCAGTTACTGTTCTTCTCACTGAGGCTACCACTGCCTCCCCTGCCATTGAAGTAACCCCCAATACTCCCCCAGAGGGACTTAGTGAGAGTCCTCCCTCAGTAGAAGTAGAGGAGCCTCCAGTGGCGGCTACAGAGGAGATGCTTGAGGTAGAGGAGCCTCCAGTGGATGTTACAGAGGAGACGATTGAGGTAGAGGGACCTCCAGTGGATGTTACAGAGGAGACGATTGAGGTAGAGGAGCCTCCAGTGGATGTTACAGAGGAGACGATTGAGGTAGAGGAGCCTCCAGTGGATGTTACAGAGGAAACGATTGAGGTAGAGGGGCCTGCAGTGGATGTTACAGAGAAGACGATTGCGGTCAAGGAGCCTCCAGTGGATGTTACAGAGGATACGTTTAAAGTAGAGGAGCCTCCAGTGGATGTTACAGAGGAGACGATTGAGGTAGAGGAGCCTCCAGTGGATGTTACAGAGGAGACGATTGAGGTAGAGGGGCCTGCAGTGGATGTTACAGAGAAGACGATTGCGGTCAAGGAGCCTCCAGTGGATGTTACAGAGGAGACGTTTGAGGTAGAGGAGCCTCCAGTGGATGTTACAGAGGAGATGATTGAGGTAGAGGCTACAGAGGGGATGCTTGACATAGAGGAACCTACAGTGGATGTTACAGAGGATACGTTTAAAGTAGAGGAGCCGGCAGTGGATGTTACAGAGGAGACGTTTAAAGTAGAGGAGCCGGCAGTGGATGTTACAGAGGAGATGATTGAGGTAGAGGAGCCTCCAGTGGATGTTACAGAGGATACGTTTAAAGTAGAGGAGCCGGCAGTGGATGTTACAGAGGAGACGTTTGAGGTAGAGGAGCCTCCAGTGGATGTTACAGAGGAGACGATTGAGGTAGAGGAGCCGGCAGTGGATGTTACAGAGGAGACGTTTGAGGTAGAGGAGCCTCCAGTGGATGTTACAGAGGAGATGATTGAGGTAGAGGAGCCTCCAGTGGATGTTACAGAGGAGACGATTGAGGTAGAGCAGCCTCTAGTGGATGCTACAGAGCAGACGGTTGATATAGAGGAGACTGTGGATACGACAGAGGCCTACCTTTGGGTTAAGCCACCATTTACAACTCTGGCGGCCATTACTGAACAGCCTGCCACTAAGGAGACACTTGGTCTAGAGGAGACTGTAGATGCGACAGAGGCCTACCTTTGGGTTTGGCCACCAGTTACAAGAACGGTCGTTACAGAACAGCCTACCACCGAAATGATTACTCTCTTTCCCCCTGAGGAAGATGCTGAGGAGACCCTCCCAACTGTTGAACCTAAGGAAGATGAAGGTAATGTTCTGCTTATAAACCAAGTGGCAAAATTTATGGAAGCATTTTTTGATTTCAATTTCAATCTTTTTGATTGAAATGGATTTGTATGTCATTTTCTGATATTTTAAAATTTTCTTTAAAAAGGACCCACAACTACTGAGGCAGCTTTAGAGGAGCAACCAGATGGAGACAATCAAATTATCACCACTACAGCATCTCTAGATGTAGAACCTGCATCCATCGAAACATTCACCACTGCGACACAATCACCAAACATGGCTTTATTTGAGGATGATGTCAACCAAGCAGAGCCTGAGGAAGTCCCCTCAGCATATATTCCCCCCGGACCTTCAAAAGGAGGGGACACCCCCCAAGAAGAGGAACCACTTGAGATGGACGTGGATATCTCTAATGATGACTCGGACATGCAGGAGGATGTAGATGTAGAAAAGGTAGAGGACGGTACACAAGCCGCCGATAAGCTGGACGAGTTTGGCAGTGGATTGGAAGGTCCATTTGAGTCCACTGCACCGCCAGCACTCACACACATGAACACTCCTTTAATGGCCAGTACTGGAAAAGCCAAAGAAATGGTGGTGTTCTTTAGTTTGCGAGTCACTAACATGATGTTTTCAGAGGACCTGTTCAACAAAAGCTCTCCTGAGTACAGGTCATTGGAGAATACCTTTCTTCAGCTGGTAGGTAAACACATTTTTGTGCTCGATATTATGTTTCTGCATGCCTTGTTGTCATACCTATATTTTTAGCTCCAAGATCTTGTTTCAAACTGTTTGATAAGCTAATTGTGCAGTAAGTAATGGTTGGATGTTTGAAGTGAAGTGAACATTTAAGTATCCCCAAGTGAGTAGGGGGCAATTTTTTAACCTAGACAAGTGATGATGTAAACCTGATTTAATTAATTAATTAATTACATTAATTAATTAATCCATACTGGTGCTATATGTTAACAGCCAAGTACATTGGGGTAGAGTTCTCAGAGTTCATCAGAAGACCTGTTCATATAAAAAACTGGCTACATTTTGTTTTACTTAGAACCAGTTCTCTGAGCCCAGAGACTCGCCATATCCTGGAGCCAGTAAATCTGGGACTGGGAGACAGAGGACGTTAGCTTCAATACCGGTATTTCCATATTGGAACTATTTCTTTCATGCCTCAGAGAGAGCATGGCCTATTTCTTTTCTAACTTTTCTGTACATATCTCAAACATTTATTAGAATCTATCTTAGAATTTACTTTCATTGACTAACATTTGCCTGCGAGTAGCACTTGACAAAAAGTAACATCTCTACAACCACTGACTCATTTGTCAATGGTGCTTGGCTAAATGATACATACCTGCAGTTTCTGAAATGCACTTTTAGTAATCAATCTAAAGATATTACGATTTCTTTCCTGTCTGTTCGTCTGAGTCTTTCAATTATTTTATCTTCTATGTTATTTGTTTTGTCAAAGACAGTTACATTTGCCTTAATCCTGTGCATTCTGCTCAAGTTTTGGTTTCTCAGGGTCTCATTTGGTGTTAAGAGCTAGCTAATGGCAAAGAGGTTTGTTCATAATGAACCATGTCTAGGGATGTGTATAGAATTTGTAAGTCTGTCCACCAAGATTTACCTAAGGCTTATAAGGTATAAAAGCTAGGAATAGCTGTTTCAGGTACAAAATGGTGTATAGGTATATATCCAGATGGGTAGCGTTTGTGCTCTCTTTTCACTTTTGCAAGAACACGAGAGATAAGATGTTGTCGATATTAATATCCTGGTTTTTATCTGTAAGTCTTTTAAAAAAACACAGAGCGAGACAAATATTTACATCCATTGGTTTTTAGGAACATCCAACTATTGTGGACAGCTTAGACGTGCTTGGAATGATTTTGATCTTGTGCTCTGTTGCTTTTTATTCTCTATATATACACACAGTGCTGCTTGAAAGTATGTGAACCCTACAGAGCTGGTCAATATTTTTGCTATAAAATAAACATAAAATCCTTATCTAAACCCCAATTCGTAATAAAGACATTCCAAGTAAATGACAGAAACAAAAAAATATATATTTACATTGTTCAGTTAACAAAAGTGGTTTATTGAACAGAAACTCAGATTTGATGTGTGCAAAAATATGTAAACCCCTTCAGTCAATAGCTTGTGGCACCTCCATTAGCAGCAATAACTATAGCCAGTAATCAGTCTCTGACATCTGTTTTGAGGAATTTTTGCCCACTCCTCCTTACAGAACTCAGCCAATTGAGTGAGGTTTGAGGGGTGTCTGACATGAACTGCCCGCTTCAGGTCCTGCCACAGCATCTCAATTGGATTTAGGTCAGGACTTTGACTTGGCCAATCCAAAACACAAATCTTCTTTCTCCTGAGCCATTCTTTGGTAGATTTGCTTGAATGCTTTGGGTCTTTGTTTTGTTGGAAGACCCATTTTTAGCCCAGCTTTAGCTCCTTGACTGATGGCCTGACGTTCTGTTCAAGAATCTCCTGGTATACCTCAGAATTCATGTTTCCCTTAATGATGTGGAGTCGTTCAGGTCCAGAGGAGGAAAAGCAGCCCCAGATATTGACATTCCCACCACCATGCTTGACTGTTGGGAAAAGGTTATTTTGGTGGTAGGTAGTTGGGTTTTTGCCAAACATAGCAGTGCTAATTCTGACCAAAAAGGTCAATTTTGGACTCATCGGTCCAGAGAATGGACTTCCAGAAAACTTCAGGTGGTCTCTGACAAAGTTAAGACGGGCAGTTTGGTTCTTTTTTGACAGCAGAGGCTTCTTCCTACCAACCCTCCCATGAATGGCATTTCGATTCAGTGTTCTTCTTATTGTTGAAGCATGCACAGTTACCTGAGATGCTCTCTAGATGTTCTGTTTGGGTTGGCTTTTACCTGATTTATTATTGTTCGTGTGGCTCTTGGGGATATTTTGGAAGGGCGTCCACTTCTAGGCCAAGTTGCTGTCATGTTAAATGCACTCCATTTGTACATTATTTGCCTCACAATGGACTGATGGAGCTCAAATCTTTTTTATAATATTTTATAACCTTCCCCAGATGTGCTCTCACTACCCTCATCCTGATGTCCTCTGAGATCTCCTTTCCTCTCGGCATGGTGTGCTTTGCATTCACCTGAATGGGTAACACCAAACGGACCAGGTTTCTTATCTCTATTTATCAGAGTCCCGCCCAAAAACGTTCCTCTCCTTTGATTGGTTCATTTGGTAGCTAATTATTTACCCACCTGATTCTACTTACCTACTTGATTTAATCAACGCAACTTGGGGTTCACTTATTTTTGCACCTGCACTAATTCCTTTTTAATTTTGTTTTTCTACTACACGCATGATTTCCTCTATACCAGGACTGCCCAACCCTGTTCCTGGAGAGCTACCGTCCTGTAGGTTTTTGCTCCAACCCTAATCTAGCACACTTGATTCTTATAATTAGCAGGTTGATAAGATGAATCAGGTTAGTAACACCTGGGATTGGAGTGAAAACCTACAGGAGGGTAGCTCTCCAGGAACAGGGTTGGGCAACCCTGCTCTACACCAATATATGGTGTTGGTAAATATAAACCTGTTATGTCAGATCAAAAAGACTGGTTCTGATTAAATGAAGATTTCATGGTAAAAACTGAAAAAATCTAATTGCACAAGGGGTTCACATACTTTCAAGCAGCACTGTATGCATTACAATGATTGTATTACATTCTGACTAGTGTGCATGCTTACTTTAGCTTGCTACATCAATTTGAAAGAGGCATTGTGGTAAAGGAACGTTTGGTCATTTTGGGTATTTATTAAAAAAACACAAGCCACATTAAAACAATATTTTTATATGCTGGCTACTTATGTGTGTGAGTAGGACTGTAGAGGTGAATGAATTGTGCCAATGGTTAGATAAACTGAATGTGGCTGATATTGCTAAAAGCAGGAAAGTCTCTGTTTTTTGTACAGTGATGGGAGTGAGACTTGCTAAACTCCCTCCTAGCTAACTCTATGTGGACAGCCCCGGGTGATCTGGATCATAGGACCCAATAGACTACTATAGCCAATGTTTACCTTGGGGGGTTTCTAACGGAGTAAGAGCCTTTAGGTAATGCTGGTTAGCACAAGCACCGCACACATTTTACAAGGGTACTTTTTTTGTGGTCTAAATCAGCCTAGTTCAACATCAGTCAATTGTGTTTTTGTGTGCACAAACATGCATGTACAGTATGAGATTTCAGGTACATCTTTACAGGATATAGGCAGGATTACAGCTAATAGCATGGGTAATACAATTGGTTCAAGTGCACAAGAGAGAACAAGCTTTCCTCCCAATACAAATAGGTTGTAAGGAATTGGTACGTTGTCACACTGTTTACGTTCAGCATTGCTATTTTGGACAGCCCTGCCTCCTCAAGTACAAACCATAATCACTTAAGGCCAACAAAGATAAACAGAGCTTTCTTTTAGAGATCCGCATTCATACCAATTGCAATTACAGCTAATGTTACGAAACTCGTCCAACTTGCCCTCATTTAATTGATATACATCAGACGTCTATATTTGGTTTTAAGGCTTAGCTTGAGTTTGGCAGTGGGAAATATACTTGAATTTCACAGAAGTGCCTTAACTTTGTGTTATGTAACATCCTCAGCCTTTAACTGGGGATGGATATCAATACAAATTGGATTGCCTGCTCTTACTAACAGGGATCCAGTCACTGCAGAGTAGAACGTAATCTACAGTACTGGAGGACAGAAAGCTACTGCTGCAGTCTTGAAATGGAACGTTGTTTAAGTCAATCAAATTGATTTATAAAGCCCTTTTTACATCAGCAGATGTCACAAAGTGCTATACAGTAACCCAGCCTAAAACCCCAAACAGCAAGCAATGCAGATGTAGAAGTAACATTTATTTTATATTGTGATATAAAATATATGAAAACATAAGCCAGTCAGCTCATTCTAATTCACAGCAGTTGTCAATCGATGAAGAGAACCAAAAGTTTGGAATACTATAGGACAAACTCATTTCATAATCACTTTCTACTACACAGGACAAAATGCATGGCAATCCCTGGACTTTCAGCTGCATTACTAGAATGTTTAATTTAATTTAACTAGGCAAGTCAGTTAATTGACTATTTCATTATTTTATCATTTGATAAAAAGGTAGTTACACAGCTGCATCCAATAAAGTTAACCAGACATCTTATTTTAATCAGCTACATATCTAATAAAAAAAATCCATACTCCATCTCCAATTTTAAGTGGTTGCCCAAACCAGGGATTCAACATTATCCAGTGTGTCCAATTATTCTGCAATAGAAAGTTTTCTGCCAAAAACGAATGTGATCAGAAGTTTGAATTGGTAAGTATTCACAATAGTTTTTGTAAGTATAGTTACTACTGTATTTTTTCATAATAGCTTAACTGTCCTTTAAATGGGCTATCAAGACAATGGTCCACAAATGTTTCATTTATTTCAATACAAAGCAACACTTGGTCAATCAATGTAAATGCCAGTTATGGCAAGTTCAGACTAATTTCATTAGGTATTTCCATTTCAGGCCCATTTAAACGAAAAATCTATTTTCTGTTAAACGTCATACTCCATTTGTGATGTATCCTAGAGCCCCCTGCTTCCCTGTTGTCGTACTACTTATTTACTCCTGTCTCTACTGGTTTGTGTAGCAACCAATAACATTGGAAATTGAGGTTTAAGTAACTTCATGCAAAAATACTACCCATTTGTTTGATTCAAAATGTTTAACTGCAAAACATTTTCAATAATTGAGAATATGATGTGGTGGTTTCACCAGAAAATCAAAAAAAGAACCAGTAGATACACGTGTAACATCTGGAGAAGTATGAGCGAGTTTGTCATGCATACTGTAGGTTTGTGTACAGAAAAACTGTATTTTGATGACATAATATACTCTAAATAGTATTCTGTTATTTTCTCAAACAAACATTGCAAGGTTCTTGCTATACAGACCTAGCTTGTGCAAAGCAGGGCATTAAGACTACAGCACAGTGAGGATTGCTAACTTGTTGGATTTGAAATGCTGAGGCATATGGATGTATTTGAGCAATACCCCTGCTAGCAGCCTGTTTGCTGGGAGCCTTACTATAGTATGAAGCATGGTGCTCTGCGAGGTGAATGAGGTTGTATGAGGCCCATAGGCTGTGTTTAGACAGGCAGCCCAATTCTGATATTTTTTCACACTAGTTGGTCTTTTGACCAATCACGTCAGATCTTTTCACATCAGATCTTTTTGCCCTCGGCCTGCCGGTGATAAGTGGAGTAACCCAATCTGATTCAGCTCCATAATGCCTCTTATCTCTTGGTATACAGGCATTGAACAGCTGCGTTAAAGCGCCATCATCTTCCCTTCTCACAGTATTTGGTTCTCCTGCAGTTCTCCCTTGTCTAAATGCAGGTACCTTACTCTTGAAGACGGAGAGAGCAGCTATAATAGCAAATGCTCAGTCTATTATTCTTGCTGGCAGTCAGGGCCATTTTTTAAATTGCCAATCAGAAACTTTCAATGGACTTGGTAAATGGAGAGATGCCATAGATTTGGCTAGAATAGAGAACTTGACGGATTTGAAGATTGTTCTGGTGGATTTGAAAACTGTTGTATTGTTGGTTTTTGTATTTGTTTCATGGACAGATTTTTGTTGTCAGATTTGTCGTCGTACAGGTCTCAATGGCCTGGCTTCTCGGTTTCTTACATTTGAACCTTTTCTATTTTTACGTGGAACTAACTCAGCCATAACACCTTACAGAAGGGATGCTAACTAATGCATGGTTTTGTGCTACATTTAGTAATGTTGATCATTTCAAACCTGCAATTAGCACGGTTTTATTATTGTGATGAATGAGATTATATATGCATACATTTTATCAGTAAATAAAATGTGCACTTTTGTTTAAATGACTCCAAACTCACAGTGAGATGAGAGACAAATATGGGAACTTTTTCATAAAACATTAATTTGAACTCTCTTTTTCCTACCAGGACCCAGATTAATTCACTAGTCCTTCATGGGGACGGCATTGGTGATGCTTTTAAGATGACTTTCATGTAAAATACTGTATCCCAAATTGGCGTACTCTGTCCCAAATTACCATAATAATGACCATTACATGGTTTTCTAAGTTTGCCATAATGCTCTCTTGAAGACCACCAAGCCAACCATTTCCTCCTTAAAACTAAAAGCAAATCAAATCAGATAGTTTTGAATGTTAACAGAATTACTAGTCAAATTACCCTTAGAGTGGAATCCCAAATGTGAATAAAAGGGAAGTGCTGAAGCATCAAATGTGTCCTCTACACACATTCATTTAGTTCTCTCCCCTCTTTTCCAGCTTCTCCCATATCTGCAATCTAATTTGACAGGATTTAAGCAATTAGAAATCCTCAACTTCAGGAATGGTAGTGTTGTGGTAAACAGCAAGATGAAGGTAGAAAAAGATGTGCCACATAACCTGACACAGGCCGTGCATTGTGTGCTCGAAGACTTCTGCAACGCTGCATCCAAACGACTAGACATTGAGATTGACAGTCGCTACCTGGACATAGAACCTGGTAAGCGATCTCTATATTGGCCTCAGAAAGTTCTCACTGTCCTATGTGATTGGGGTGGGGGGGGGGGGGGGATCATAGACAGAAACAGCTCCTATCTAAATGATGGGGGCCCAGAGGATTAATTATACTTCTAGAATGATCAATCTGGAAAGGTCAAAAGAATGCATGCCACCGCAGCATTACTGCATTGTCCTCTGCAGATGAAAATCATTACTCTCTAGTCTCACAAGCACTTCCCTGGCTAAAACCTCATTACATGCACCTTATTTAAAACAGACACCTTCATTCACATCAATCAATGTGCCCTCCAGTTTCTCCTTGACCAGTGCTATCTGGGTTCCTTGGGACGTCCCTACACTAACCCCTAACCTTAACCCTTAAATGTAAACTTCAATGGGGGGTAGGACGTCCCAAGGATCTCGGATAGCACGGACCATTTCTCCTTTGCATTCGAGGACAATGAAGGAACAAATCAGGGTGAGAGAGGTGAAAAGCATTTAATTAATGCTAATGAATTATCCTCGTACTCGTTTCAGCTGACCAAGCAGATCCCTGCAAGTTCTTGGCGTGCAATGAGTTCTCCCAATGTGTGGTAAACAGTTGGACCGAGGAGGCTGAGTGTTTGTGCGACCCTGGCTATAGCACTACGGACGGCCTGCCCTGCCAGAGCATTTGTAACCTGGAGGAAGACTACTGCTTCAACGGGGGCCTTTGTGACATCATCCAGGGTCATGGAGCCACCTGCAGGTACCCACGAGCTAACCGACCAAACAGAGAGCTACGGTCCTCACTTTCCACAAACTGAAATACTGGCAACATATAAGCTCTTCTTGATGTTGTCTTGCAGAATTTACATAGACCTTTTATACTGCAAAAGCCCTTAGGATTCAACAATGCTCCAGCACGTGCCATGGGGCATTGTTGAATCCGAAAGGCATTTTTGACGTATTAAGATACATTTGTTACTGTAGTAGAATAAACTATAGCCGATGGGGTTGACACTAATCCTGTTTTTTCTCGAACATTTTAGATGTCCTGTAGGGAAATACTGGCACTATCACGGAGAGCGCTGCAATGAGCTGGTGTCGCTGCCTGTAGACCCAACCATTTTCATAGCCTGCCTGGTGGGAAGCCTCACCTTGGTTTGTGCCATCATAGGCATCTTGGTATTCATAAACAAGAAATGTTTCGGGACCCGAAAGACTGTGACTTTGGTGTAAGCAGGCCTTTAACCTTTTTGCGCCAATAGCTTTACCAATTGTTGTTTTACAGCTTGGTTATTACAATCTTATTATCTCCTCTGTATTATAGGCATACAATTACTCCTTATGCCTTTGACAACACATTGAGAGTGAACCCAGTTTTTGAAAATGACGATGGTGTCTTGACTCAAGTATCCAGCATAAGTACAACACCACCCTTGAGTAGTGGTGCTGGTTCTTCCCAAACATCAGAGCAAGAAGCTTTTTGCTCTATTGAAAATATACATCTAAGTATTAAGGTAATCTGTTTAACTCAATTGGCCCCATATTCTAAACAAACTAATACCACTAATCCAAACCTTAAGCAGTCATCACCTGATATCTACTAATTCCGCTTATGACAAATAATCATTACGAGTCCCAAGAAACAAGCTTCTATCCTTCTATCCTGGCTATAATAAGAACAGAGCTGACAAAATAAGAAAAAGGAGAGATTTTGTGAGTAAAAGTAAAGCTTTAATGAAGTAAAGTACTCACATACAGTACCAGTCAAAAGTTTGGACACACCTACTCATTCAAGGGTTTTTCTTTCTTTTTATTATTTTCTACATTGTAGAATAATAGTGAAGACATCAAAACTATGAAATAACACATATGGAATCATGTAGTTACCAAAAAAGTGTTAAACAACAGTCTTGAAGGAGTTTCAACATATGCTGAGCACTTGTTGGCTGCTTTTCCTTCACTCTGCCGTCTGACTCATTCCAAACCATCTCAATTGGGTTGAGGTCGGGGGATTGTGGAGACCAGGTCATCTGATGCAGCACTCAATCACTCTCCTTCTTGGTAAAATAGCCCTTACACAGCCTGGAGGTGTGTTGGGTCATTGTCCTGTTGAAAAACAAATGATAGTCCCACTAAGCCCAAACCAGATGGGATGGCGTATTGCTGCAGAATGCTGTGGTAGCCATGCTGGTTAAGTGTGCCTTGAATTCTAAATAAATAAGACAGTGTCACCAGCAAAGCACCCCTACACTATAACACCTCCTCCTCCATGCTTTACGGTGGGAAATACACATGCGGAGAGCATCCGTTCACCCACACCGCGTCTCCCAAAGCCACGGAGGTTGGAACCAAAAATCTCCAATTTGGACTCCAGAACAAAGGACACATTTACACCGGTCTAATGTCCATTGCTCGTGTTTCTTGGCCCAAGCAAGTCTCTTCTTCTTATTGGTGTCCTTTAGTAGTGGTTTCTTTGCAGAAATTCGACCATGAAGGCCTGATTCACACAGTCTCCTCTGAACAGTTGATGTTGAGATGTGTCTGTGACTTGAACTCTGTGAGACATTTATTTGGGCTGCAATTTCTGAGGCTGGTAACTCTAATGAACTTATCCTCTGCAGCAGAGGTAAATCTGGGTCTTCCATTCCTGTGGCAGTCCTCATGAGAGCCAGTTTCTTCATAGCGCTTGATGGTTTTTGCAACTGCACTTGAAGAAACTTTCAAAGTTCTTGAGACTTTCAGTATTGACTGACATTCATGTCTTAAAGTAATGATGGACTGTTGTTTCTCTTTGCTTATTTGAGCTGTTCTTGCCATAATATGGACTTGGTCTTTTACCAAATAGGGCTATCTTCTGTATAACCCCCCTACCTTGTCACAACACAACTGATTGGCTGAAACGCATTAAGAAGGAAAGAAATTACACAAATTAACTTTAAAGAAGGCACACCTGTTAATTGAAATGCATTCCAGGTGACTACCTCATGAAGCTGGTTGAGAGGATGCCAAGCGTGTGCAAAGCCATCATCAAGGCAAAGGGTGGCTACTTTGAAGAATCTCAAATATAAAATATATTTGATTTGTTTAACACTTTTTTGGTTACTACATGATTCCATGTGTTATTTCATAGTTTTAATGTCTTCACTATTTTTCTACAACGTAAAAAAATAGTAAAAATAAAGAATGAGTAGGTGTGTCCAAACCTTTGACTGGTAGTGTAGGTTCCGTGGTACATCTTGAAAACTTCCAGAACAGATCACATAACAAAAGCTTAAAACACTCAGAGAGCACGATGCATTGCCTGAGGAAGACCAGTAGGCTGAAATGTGGTGCGTGTTCCGAGTAGTTCTTCTATGATCTGTCCTGTTATTGTTTGAAGACGCACCACAGGTATATCACAGAGTACTTTTCTTCATTCCATCTTTATTTCGAATCGCCAAAGAAGCTCTCATCGCTCATACTTTGCACGATCAGCTCTTTTGCGCTCCTTTTATTTTCTTTCCACTTATGGGATGGCTAGTTCCTTCAACAAACTCTGAAGGAACGCATTTCTGCTCCATAGTACAGTGAGATATACTTTCATACACTAAACCCATTCTATAGTATCCTCATTATTCAGTATCCATGAAATTGGTTGAACCCTCAAATGATATTGTAAAGAGATTAAAATGTCTGTCTATTTATCAATTCCTAAAATATATCTACGTGAATGCATTTCAATTCCCCTGCACATATTGGCCAGATAATATATTTATTGTATTGAAGTGATTTTTTTTGTAGAGATGTATTGTGGTGAGTCATGATCAATATACCCCAAAACATCCAAGCCTTGGTTAATTTGAAGTCAGACATTTGAAGACTATTACGGTACATGACAGTGTCAAGAGGATACTCCATGTCAAACCATGCTGGTGAATGAGTAATGGTATATGGTCTGATATACCACGGCTTTCAGCCAATCAGCATTCAGGGCTTGAACCACCCAGTTTATAATGAGTAATAAAACCTTGTAGATGTCCCGTCTAAAACTCATCTTCTCTGGAACATTAATATTACCCAACCTTCACCCTCTATGATGTCTCCCCTTGAAATTATATTTTGTGCCAAACGCCCCCTTTTAAAGCGCTTCCTAGTGTGTTCCTTGCGACCTATGAACAGTGTAAAGCTTTGTTTCTCTGATACTTTTCTACAGATCCCCAGACAGCTCTACACAACTAGACCCGACAAGCTAGTCTCTGAAATGGTCGATTTCCATCACTGTATACCACACAACGAGGTAGGGTCGAAATTCTGATCTTGGGCTCAGTTTGAATGTGTCATATTGACTTAGGGTAGACCCAGGGTTGGGTAGGTTACATTCTAAATGTAATCCGTTTCAGTTACTGGTTACGTTGTCCAAAATTGTAACCATTAACATAAAAGTAATCAAAGAAGCAATCATATAGTTTTTCAAAAGTCTGTAATCTGATTACAATTTTTTTGCTGGTAACACAACTGATTTCAGTTACTGTTTTTTTGTAATCAGTTACTCCCCAACCCTTGGTAGACCTCAGTTGTCCAATATGTTTATATATTGTATTAAATACTTTCTAGGAAAAGCATTTAAAAGCATTAGAAGGTAAGACATTAGTTGATAAGGTTGATTCTGATTCATTACTTAACCAAATCATAGTTTCTAAAGCTGTTGAGTGTTCCATTTAATTTCTTCAAATCAAAAAGTATGATTCAGAAAATGTCACAGTAAATCACTGGCAGTGACATGAGCATAATTACTTATTAGTAGGAATAAAAATGATAATTGCAATATCACTGCATGCTAAAATGGAATTATTCACCAAATTATTGTTTGCAAGAACCTATAAACATTCATTACAACATGTATTGTTTGTAATATATTTAAATAATGTCATTAATCTGGATTCTATAATCAGCAGCTTGAAAGTCATTAAGGGATAATTTCACATCAACATTTAGCATTTATGAATTAATCTCTTTTAAAGTTGGTGTTAATAATGACATACCGGTAAGTATGTACCGTTCAACTATTTTAATTGCGTTATATTTATATAATTTATCACTATTTTGGGTATATTTCATGTGTCAATATGATTACAAATGTTATGTGCAATTTCTGACATGAAATAACATTTGGTATACCCTTTTTTCACTTGTCCCCTTTTCAGACGTGGCGGCCACCAAATGAGTACCGAACCTGTTGCCTGTTAAGGGCATCAGATAACGAATGCTTTGAGGTAACTGTTCTTTGATGGCAAATTTCTTGGCACCAAGAGTATTGGTTGCTTTGAACTTGAGCGGTATACTCAAAATATATCTTGTCTCTTGGAAATTCACATCATGGCAGTGGACTCATCTATTACTGGATTTACTGCATACATTACATGGAGAAGTGTACCTAGGATTGGATGCATATTGCCAGACGGCGTGTGGATATTATATGCTGGACTAGAAGGTTGTGTTAAGGTATACCCATCTATTTATACACGGAGTAAACCAAACATTAGCAAACACCTTCCTAATATTGAGTTGCACACCCCCCTTTTGCCCTCAGAACAGCCTCAATTCGTAGGGGCATGGACTCTACAAGGTGTCGAAGGCGTTCCACAGGGATGCTGGCCCATGTTGACTCCAATGCTTCCCACAGTTGTGTCAAGTTGGCTGGATGTCCTTTGGGTGGTGGACCATTCTTGATACACACAGGAAACTGTTGAGCATGAAAAACACAGCAGCATTGCAGTTCTTGACACAAACTGGTGCGCCTGGCACTACCATACCCCGTTCAAAGGCACTTTAATATTTTCTCTTGTCCATTCACCCTCTGAATGGCACACACACACAACCCATGTCTCAATTGTCTCAAGGCTTAAAAATCCTTCTTTAACCGGTCTCCTCCCCTTCATCTACACTGATTGAAGTGGATTTAACAAGTGCCATCAATACAGGATCATAGCTTTGACCTGGATTCACCTGGTCAGTCTATGTCATGGAAAGAGCAGATGTTCTTAATGTTTTGTATACTCAGTGTATATTGAAGGCTAGGAATGTTTTTCAGATACTGTAAATCCTTGACAAAGGTTGTTTTCTTTCCTCACAATGAGGTATTTATTTACAAATTGATACATGGTGATATCATGACCTTAGATGAGATATTGTTTTAAATGTTATTCTAACCTGTGTTCAGTGTCCCAAAAAATAAAATGAATGTAAATGTAAACGCTTTTGACTTCAGTCATGTTGTTTAAAGCAATACTCCTACGATTTTAGCATAGTGTTGTTTAGATGCTAAATGTAGCAATACATCTGTGTGGAGAAAGTCAGTACTATACTGCTGTACAACACATTTCCACCAATCATGTGTGTTTTGAGTACAGGATCAAAACACACTTGGAGGATGTAGCGTTTTTTATTTTTATTTTTTAACACTCTTTTTACATTTTATAGTTAAGAAAATAAAGTATTTTCCTACAATAACGTCATTTTTTGGGGTCAATTGGTTATTTCATTAAATTGCTCACAATCACAATGCATTTCAATGAGTTTTCCATCAACATTGTCGAAGGATTGTTATTTTATGATGATAATATCCATTCAAAGTTTTCGGCTTTTTACTGCCCTTCATTTGGATCAATCATAGAACATGAAGACCACAAAGTACATGAATAATTAATTCTTAATCACTCGTAATCAGTCATCTTGTTAAAAACTGTTAGTAATAAGCTAGTCTATGCCGTTTAGGAAATACAAATAGAAGTCGTCTTGCTATTAACTACAGTATACAGAATGATAAAAGCTAGAATACATTTATTTCCTATATTGCAGCGCAATAATCAGCATACAATTTAAGTTAAATCTGAAATGGAAAAAAGCTACAAAGATTGCACTGAGGAATGTGTAATGTCAACATTATTATTTAATTATACAGATAAGAATAAACAATGATATCACTGTCATGATCAAATTATTAATAAATTATACCTGCTGGTCCACAATGAGATGACGGACTCATAAGAATGTCATATCAGCAAAAGGAGTCAAGTAATCTAGATATCAAACCTGAAGGACAAAATAACACAATCACACTTACAAACTTTCAACATTGTTATAGATGGGTTAGCAGCCAGCTGACATCGTCACGAAAACGATGTACGCGCGCTTCCATGGGGCAGAAGTCAGCGATGTTTGTTGTGATTCTGGATGGCCAGATTGCTAGCAAGAATGACAAAAACTGACGTGGGAAATTGTAAGTGGCTCGTTTCATCTTGTTGAGATTATGTCTTGTTTTGAGGTGTTTTGACAGATTTCATGTCAATACTAATATGGTTAGAATTCGCTAGCTAGCTAAACAACAACTGTAACAATGTATTTGAGAGACAAGTGGTCATTGTGCAAATTTATTTGTAAATTGTTGACATGTTGTCAACAATTTAAGCCAACACAGTCTGTTTCGCCCCATAGTTGCACACACGTCAGTTTTGTTGCTAAACAACCAACCCATCTATTAAAATAGTTGGACAATTACATTTATTGTATTTTATATTAGTGGTGAACAGAAAGTGCTTGGGAGTTCCCTCTATGAAAATACATTTAAAAATGCCTACAAATCCTATGATTTAAAAAATGTATACACTTCTTTTAAAGGTCCAATTAAGCTGTTTTTGTCTCAATATTAAATCATTTCTGGGTAACACTTAAGTACCTTACTGTGATTGTTTTCAATTAAAACTGTCAGAAACAAAAATAGCTTCTTAGCAAAGAGCAATTTCTCAAGCAAGAATTTAGCTAGGACTGTCTGGGAGTGTGGGGAGGGGAAAAACTGAAAATGTGCGGTTATTGGCAGAGAGGTTTGGAACTCTTTCTTATTGGTCTATTAACTCATTTACCACATGGTGATGTCACCATGGAAGGCAAAACTCCATCCCACCAAAACAGGCTGAAGTTTCAGGCGGTCTTTTCAAACATCTCTTACACATTATCCTCCTTTTCACAATATTATTCCAACCGCATAGCTTTGAAATATATATAAAACACAGGAAAATGAAGGTTTTGACTACACTGGGCCTTTTAAATGAGAAGTTCTTAGATGAGAATACATTCTGTCACTATGGCCTACAAATATAGTGCTTGAGGTTTCTTTCACTATGACATATTCATAGATAACAGGTAGAATCTACCGCCTGTGTGGCCTTCTCTGTCCCAGTACTGTTTGTGGAGATATGCTCTGATGAAGGTCGACTGATCGAAAGCTCAGCTATAATTAAAACACATTTGCATCTGACTGGATGTGTGCAGAGACTTTTTCCTGTTTCTCCAACTATGACATATTAAGAAATAGAAGATATTCAGAAAGTTTATATTTTCACAGCACCCCAAAGGTTTGTGCTCCAATTAATCTAATCTATGATAATTCAGTATTAGCAAAAATTAAGATGTTATTGTAGATATAGTATAAAAAATACAAAGAAAGTGTAGTAACTAAATGTAACATGTCCCAGCATCACTGCAGCAACGACAAATCTGTTCTATTTGGACAATAACACTACTTATGACCTGCCTTATGCTGAAAATGTAAACCCTAAATCCTAATTTTACAAGATAAAATGTGTTGACACAATCAGTTATTCCTAGAGCTCTCAAGTCATAAAGCCAAATACTTGCAACATTTCTTCAAATTAATATATAACAGTTCCAACAGTGCTTCGTTTTCATTTAGCAACTAAACAGGAATATACAAGAATGTCTTGAGGAAGTGCAGTTTTAAACTTGTCTCAATAATATCAAATCGTTTTAAGGCCTCGTAGTAAAAATTGCATTTAAGCGTAGGCCATTGCTTGAGGACGGGATGTATAGTGGGGAGAACAAGTATTTGATACACTGCCGATTTTGCAGGTTTTCCTACTTACAAAGCATGTAGAGGTCTGTAATTTTTATCCTAGGTACACTTCAACTGTGAGAGACGGAATCTAAAACAAAAATCAAGAAAATCACATTGTATGATTTTAAAGTAATTAATTTGCATTTTATTGCATGACATAAGTATTTGATCACCTACCAACCAGTAAGAATTCCGGCTCTCACAGACCTGTTAGTTTTTCTGTAAGAAGCCCTCCTGTTCTCCACTCATTACCTGTATTAACTGCACCTGTTTGAAATCGTTACCTGTATAAAAGACACCTGTCCACACACTCAATCAAACAGACTCCAACCTCTCCACAATGGCCAAGACCAGAGAGCTGTGTAAGTACATCAGGGATAAAATTGTAGACCGGCACAAGGCTGGGATGGGCTACAGGACAATAGGCAAGCAGCTTGGTGAGAAAGCAACAACTGTTGGCGCAATTATTAGAAAATGGAAGAAGTTCAAGATGACGGTCAATCATCCTCGGTCTGGTGCTCCATGCAAGATCTCACCTCGTGGGGCATCAATGATCATGAGGAAGGTGAGGGATCAGCCCAGAACTACACGGCAGGACCTGGTCAATGACCTGAAAAGACCTGGGACCACAGTCTCAAAGAAAACCATTAGTAACACACTACGCCGTCATGGATAAAAATCCTGCAGCGCACGCAAGGTCCCCCTGCTCAAGCCAGCGCATGTCCAGGCCCGTCTGAAGTTTGCCAATGACCATCTGGATGATCCAGAGGAGGAATGGGAGAAGGTCATGTGGTCTGATGAGACAAAAATAGAGCTTTTTGGTCTAAACTCCACTCGCCGTGTTTGGAGGAAGAAGAAGGATGAGTACAACCCCAAGAACACCATCCCAACCATGAAGCATGGAGGTGGAAACATAATTATTTGGGGATGCTTTTCTGCAAAGGGGACAGGACAACTGCACCGTATTGAGGGGAGGATGGATGGGGCCATGTATCACGAGATCTTGGCCAACAACCTCCTTCCCTCAGTAAGAGTATTGAAGATGGGTCGTGGCTGGGTCTTCCAGCATGACAACGACCCGAAACACACAGCCAGGGCAACTAAGGAGTGGCTCCGTAAGAAGCATCTCAAGGTCCTGGAGTGGCCTAGCCAGTCTCCAGACCTGAACCCAATAGAAAATCTTTGGAGGGAGCTGAAAGTCCGTATTGCCCAGCGACAGCCCCGAAACCTGAAGAATCTGGAGAAGGTCTGTATGGAGGAGTGGGCCAAAATCCCTGCTGCAGTGTGTGCAAACCTGGTCAAGACCTACAGGAAACGTATGATCTCTGTAATTGCAAACAAAGGTTTCTGTACCAAATATTAAGTTCTGCTTTTCTGATGTATCAAATACTTATGTCATGCAATAAAATGCAAATTAATTACTTAAAAATCATACAATGTGATTTACTGGATTTTTTTTTTCCGTCTCTCACAGTTGAAGTGTACCTATGATAAAAATTACAGACCTCTACATGCTTTGTAAGTAGGAAAACCTGCAAAATCGGCAGTGTATCAGATACTTGTTCTCCCCACTGGTCTTTATTTTCACACAGCAAAATAACAAAGAAACATAAACAACAAAAATGACAGAAATCTACTTTTAAAAAACACAACAAAGATCTAAGTAAAATACCCTCAGTGAGAACTAACCGTTAGCCCAGCGTTTCCCAAACTCGGTCATCGGTGCACGTTTTGGTTTTTGCCATAACATTACACAGCTGATTAAAATGATCAAAGTTTGATGATTAGTTGATTATTCGAATCAGCTGTGTAGTGCTAGGGCAAAAACCAAAAGGTGCATCCCTTGGGGTCCCGAGGGCAGAGTTTGGGAAACCCTGCGTTAGCCTGAAAGGCTGCTATGATAGGGGGGGCTTTTCCTCTTTTCCCTTTGTTTACTCCATCCATATTGAGCCTACGGACATGGGTGGTCCCTCTGGTTCACTGGAGGAGGTTCTGCAGCATGGCTGTGGCATACGTGGGCCTGGCCTGCTTGCTTTCGATGGCGTTTCGCAGGTACGTGATCCCGTCGCAGCGTTCCCAGATCTCCTCAAACTGCCGAGGCAGGATCTCAGCCCCCCTCTTCCGGGTCAGGCCCGTCTCTTCCAGGCTTAGCTCACACATCTCCATGTCGTCTTTCCCTGAGGATAGATACATGGATGGATAGATGGATGGATGAGAGAGAGAGACTGACAGTCAAAACAGGATTTAATAGGGTAGGGAGAATGCACACACAGGGATATTTTCAGGATACAGGTGTACAAAACCATCTACCTGACACACTCATAATTACTGACCAACTAAATGTAATAACTAAAACATGCACTATTACATACTGCGCTTAGAGTTTCATATTACAAACACATCAATGTACATATCCAGAAGATATCAAAGCTGATCCAGCTGGAGGGACCCACCTGCCACCAGCAGGATGGGCTGCTTGTCTGGGTGCAGTTCCATCTGCCTGGCGATCCAGGGCCCGTCAAAGTGGGCGTACCACCAGCCCTTCTTCTTGTTCTGGGGGTCTTTGTACTGGTCCCCGGGCCGGATGAAGGGGATGCGGAAGTATCGCTGCTGGCGGTTCATGGCTATCTCCTGCTGCTGGGTGACCATGGCCGGGTTCTGTTGGGCTGTGTGTGGCAGGTTTCATGTCATTATACTGCCAGACTATGATATCATGTGATTACATTTGGAATTAGGGGTGTTTTTGTTTCGTAAGAGGAGCAATCCTGTGTTCGTCCTGTGTAGCTCAGTTGGTAGAGCATGGCGCTTGCAAAGCCAGGTTTGTGGGTTCGATTCCCATGGGGGACCAGTATGGAAAAAAAGTTTGAAAATGTATGCACTCGCTCTGAATAAGAGTGTCTGCTGAATAACTAAATTGTAAAATGTTTATACAGAGAAGAGTCCATTAATGTTTAAAGCAATTTCCTCTCTGAAGTTAAGAGCATGACTGAGTTGAAGGGGTGAATCATAGGGAGGTGGAAGTAAGCGAAAATATGAAACTCTGAAAATATGAGATATCAAAGACGGTATAAAATACACAAACACATGCCATGGGGGGAAGCCAGGTAAGCTGCTTACAAGGCATACTTTCAAAAACTTGCTTCCTGAAGCCAAGGCAAACTAAATGGGACCTTCTAGAAAGCTTTCACATCAATAGAGACAGATGAAAATACAGGGAAAGCAACTAAATCTGTCTGTTCTTGGGATGAAAAATAAATGAAGAGCAAACAAAGGAGACCGTAGCTTTCATGTGCGTAAATAATACATTTACTTTAAACGTGTGTTTTCCAACTGCCCGTTTTCTGGGTCTGAGGTGAATACATCATGCTTGGCTGGTTGGAGCAGGTGGTCATGGTAACGCACCACTAAATACTTTTGACACGGACAGGAGCTAGGTTTTGGAGCCGGGCTTTTTAGAATACTAATTGAATGTCCGAAAAGAACAGGCGGGCTATTTATAAAGTGTGCATTAATCCTCCTCCATCATCATGAGGAGAAGAGACGCCAGGACAGCGGAGTCACTTGAAACCCTACCTCTTTAAGGAATGTAAATGTAAAGAGACGATGGAGCCATACCAGTTTTTACCGTCTTGGCTCACTGGAGAGTTGCTGCTTTTTCTTGCTTCTATTCCATGTTAATACGACAGGAATGCAAATGTGTGACTTTTTCCCTTTTGAAAAGCTTGCCAGGTACATTGTCAAGTAGTGTTGTCACGATACCAGAATTTTGACTTCGATACCGATACAGTTTTAGTATCACGATACTGGATACCATCATGATACTCGATACCAAACTGACACTGAAATGATACCACGGCAAAAAAAAGAAGGCATATTAACCAAAGTTACAGAATGGCACTTGATCCAGACAGATAAAATCACCTCTTACTCTGTTCAATCGTTGGGCATCTTTTGAGTTCAATATCATTACATTTGAAAAAGGTTACATCAACATGTTTTAGAGACAGCAATGTATGCATTAATCAATCAACTTTACAATCAATTTGACTTTGTTTTTACCAATCTAACTACATAACAGTAATCATTTATTTGAATGGTAAATCTCTATTGATAAACTGGGTAAATCAAGGCCTATACACAGTTCAGGTGAATGCATATTCAATAGGAGTCTGTGCATGCATTGAGTTATTGAGCTTGTTTTGGCTGATTTCATGGGGCTACAGATGACAAACAATCTGTTTCCCTTCCATTTGGGACTTATTGTACTGATCAACATTTGCATAGAAGTAGCTTATTTTTATAAAAGTGTGCACTGTCTCTTTAACCTGTAAGGACGTCATTCACGAGGCCAGAGGAGGCCTCCCCGTCAGGGCCCTATTCACACACACAGTCAGTTCAATAGATATCTTTGGAAGAGTCGTGATAGAGACCGATTAAGTGAATTAATAAAGTTTTGGTGGCAATCAGCTTTGAAATCAGCATATTTTTTGCATTATGGTTTGCATATTATCACAAACAAAGTACTAGGGTAGTGAATTGATGTTCAAGTAAGGAAAGTTAGCCTACAAAGCTGGAAGCTAACGGTATTTTCTTGCATTGTTTTGCCAACTGCAATGAAAAGTTTCAACAGTTCTACATGCCGTGTTAACTTATGTGCAGCGTGAGTGCAGCGCTAACATGATGTAGCCCAGACTCCCAGTGCATGCTAGGTGGAGCAGGCACGGTGCTTTTCGCCCTATAAGGAGGACATCGGCTGCGCTGGTAGACAAACTTGATCCGTGAGACACATTTGACAAAAGTATAGTTTTTCATGTTCTAGTATTGAAAAAGTAGCGAAGTTTCGGTATATTGTGCAACACTATTGTCAAGTATTCAAATGAGTACCGTTCTAGCAAAAGAGGTGCTCTGTGTGGATGTAACAACTTCCAAGGTCAGACATGGTCACAGAAAGAAAAAACTGATGAATGAAAGAAACTGATGAAAAAAGGATGCTACTGTAGAAAACGTGGAGTCGATAATGGACACAAATAGTGATAGCGGGGTTAAGCCAGAACGCGTTAATGTCTGAACACAATCCTGGGTTGAGGAGGGCAGCACAACATCCCAGGATGGGGAATCTCACTCACCGTAGTCAGTGATAGATTTGGGGGCCCTCTGCTCTGCAGCTGTGTCGCGTTTCTTGTTCTTGGATTTCCAGGCGTGGTAGACCTTCAGACGGCGATGGAACTCCTCCCTGCATGCCGCCAGCAGCTCAATATCTACACAGGGATGACAACAGTAAAGTTGAAGTCAGAAGATAACATACAGTTTTTCAACCTCTCCACAAATTTCTTGTTAACAAACTATAGTTTTGGCAAGTCGGTTAGGACATCTACTTTGTGCATGACACAAGTACTTTTTTCAACAATTGTTTACAGACAGATTATTTCACTTATAATTCACTGTATCACAATTCCAGTGGGTCAGAAGTTTACATATACTAAGTTGACTGTGCCTTTAAACAGCTTAGAAAATGTTGAGTCAATTGGAGGTGTACCTGTGGATGTCTTTCAAGGCCTACCTTCAAACTCAGTGCCTCTTTGCTTGACATCATGGGAAAATAAAAAATAAAATCAGCCAAGACCTCAGATTTTTTTTTTGTAAACCTCCACAAGTCTAGTTCATCCTTGGGAGCAATTTCCAAACGCCTGAAGGTACCACGTTCATCTGTACAAACGTATAAACACCATGGGACCACGCAGCCGTCATACCGCTCAGGAAGGAGACGCGTTCTGTCTCCTAGAGATTAACGTACTTTGGTGCGAAAAGTGCAAATCAATCCCAGAACAACAGCAAAGGACCTTGTAAAGATGCTGGAGGAAACAGGTACAAAAGTATCTATATCCACAGTAAAACGAGTCCTATATCGACAAAACCTGAAAGGCCGCTCAGCAAGGAAGAAGCCACTGCTCCAAAACAGCCAAAAAAAGACAGACTACGGTTTGCAACTACACATGGGAACAAAGATTGTACTTTTTGGAGAAATGTCCTCTGGTCTGATGAAACAAAAATAGAACTGTTTGCCCATTATGACCATCGTTATGTTTGAGGAAAAAGGGGGTTGCACCATCCCAACCGTGAAGCACGGGAGTGGCAGCATCATGCTGTGGGGGTGCTTTGCTGCAGGAGGGATTGGTGCACTTCACAAAATAGATGGCATCATGAGGAAGGAAAATTATGTGGATATATTGAAGCTACATCTCAAGACATCAGTCAGGAAGTTAAAGCTTGGTCGCAAATGGATCTACCAAATGGACAATGACCCCAAGCATACTTGGCAAAATGGCTTAAGGACAACAAAGTCAAGGTATTGGAGTGGCCATCACAAAGCCCTGACCTCAATCCTATAGAAAATGTGTGGGCAGAACTGAAAAGGCGTGTGCGAGCAAGGAGGCCTACAAACCTGACTCAGTTACACGAGCTCTGTCAGGAGGAATGGGCCAAAATTCACCCAACTTATTGTGGGAAGCTTGTGAAAGGTTACCCGAAACGTTTGACCCAAGTTAAACAATTTAAAGGCAATGCTATCAAATACGAATTGAGTGTATGTAAACTTCTGAACCACTGGGAATGTGATGAAAGAAATAAAAGCTAAAATAAATCATTCTCTACTATTATTCTGACATTTCACATTCTTAAAATAAAGTGGGGATCCTAACTGACCTAAGACAGGGGATTTTAACTAGGATTAAATGTCAGGAATTGTCAAAAACTGAGTTTAAATGTATTTGGCTAAGGTGTACAGTGGGGAAAAAAAGTATTTAGTCAGCCACCAATTGTGCAAGTTCTCCTGCTTAAAAAGATGAGAGAGGCCTGTAATTTTCATCATAGGTACACTTCAACTATGACAGACAAATTGAGAGAAAAAAATCCAGAAAATCACATTGTAGGATTTTTAATGAATTTATTTGCAAATTATGGTGGAAAATAAGTATTTGGTCACCTACAAACAAGCAAGATTTCTGGCTCTCACAGACCTGTAACTTCTTCTTTAAGAGGCTCCTCTGTCCTCCACTCGTTACCTGTATTAATGGCACCTGTTTGAACTTGTTATCAGTATAAAAGACACCTGTCCACAACCTCAAACAGTCACACTCCAAACTCCACTATGGCCAAGACCAAAGAGCTGTCAAAGGACACCAGAAACAAAATTGTAGACCTGCACCAGGCTGGGAAGACTGAATCTGCAATAGGTAAGCAGCTTGGTTTGAAGAAATCAACTGTGGGAGCAATTATTAGGAAATGGAAGACATACAAGACCACTGATAATCTCCCTCAATCTGGGGCTCCACGCAAGATCTCACCCCGTGGGGTCAAAATGATCACAAAAATCCCAGAACCACACGGGGTGACCTAGTGAATGACCTGCAGAGAGCTGGGACCAAAGTAACAAACCCTACCATCAGTAACACACTACGCCGCCAGGGACTCAAATCCTGCAGTGCCAGACGTGTCCCCCTGCTTAAGCCAGTACATGTCCAGGCCCGTCTGAAGTTTGCTAGAGTGCATTTGGATGATCCAGAAGAGGATTGGGAGAATGTCATATGGTCAGATGAAACCAAAATAGAACTTTTTGGTAAAAACTCAACTCGTCGTGTTTGGAGGACAAAGAATACTGAGTTGCATCCAAAGAACACCATACCTACTGTGAAGCATGGGGGTGGAAACATCATGCTTTGGGGCTGTTTTTCTGCAAAGGGACCAGGACGACTGATCCGTGTAAAGGAAAGAATGAATGGGGCCATGTATCGTGAGATTTTGAGTGAAAACCTCCTTCCATCAGCAAGGGCATTGAAGAGGAAACGTGGCTGGGTCTTTCAGCATGACAATGATCCCAAACACACCGCCCGGGCAACGAAGGAGTGGCTTCGTAAGAAGCATTTCAAGGTCCTGGAGTGGCCTAGCCAGTCTCCAGATCTCAACCCCATAGAAAATCTTTGGAGGGAGTTGAAAGTCTGTGTTGCCCAGCGACAGCCCCAAAACATCACTGCTCTAGAGGAGATCTGCATGGAGGAATGGGCCAAAATACCAGCAACAGTGTGTGAAAACCTTTTGAAGACTTACAGAAAACGTTTGACCTGTGTCATTGCCAACAAAGGGTATATAACAAAGTATTGAGAAACTTTTGTTATTGACCAAATACTTATTTTTCACCATCATTTGCAAATAAATTCATTAAAAATCCTACAATGTGATTTTCTGGATTTTGTTTTCTCATTTTGTCTGTCATAGTTGACGTGTACCTATGATGAAAATTACAGGCCTCTCTCATCTTTTTAAGTGGGAGAACTTGCACAATTGGTGGCTGACTAAATACTTTTTTTCCCCCACTGTATGTAAACATTTTACTTCAACTGTAAATGAAATGTGCTTAAGGTTATAGGAGTAGGCTCTTCTCTATTATGCCTCAGTAACCGAAAGGTAGCTGGATCGAATCCCCAAGCTAACAAGGTAAAAATCTGTCGTTCTGTCCTTGATCAAGGCAGTTAACCCACTGTTCCCCGGGCACCTATGACGTGGATGTCGATTAAGGCAGCCCCCCGCACCTCTCTGATTCGGAGGGCTTGGGTTAAATGGGGAAGACACATTTCAGTTGAATGCATTCAGTTGTACATCTGACTAGGTCTCCCCCTTTTCCTTTCCCTTTCCAGTAATGTAATTTCTGTGAAACAAATGTGGAGTATTTCCTATACCTCCTATACCAATAAAATATCTACTGAACAAAAATATAAACGCAACATGTAAAGTGTTGGTCCCATGTTTCATGAGCTGAAATAAAAGATCCCATACATTTTCCTTACACACAAAAAGCTTATTTCTCTTAAATTGTGTGCACAAATTTGTTTACATCCCTGTTAGTGAGCATTTCTCCTTTGCCAAGATAATCCATCCACCTGACAGGTGTGGCGTATCAAGAAGCTGATTAAACAGCATAGTCATTACACAGGTGCACCTTGTGCTGGGTACAATAAAAGGCCAGTCTAAAATGTGCAGTTTTGTCAACACAATGCAATGCCTCAGGTTGATGGAGCATGCAATTGGCATGCTGACTGCAGGAATGTCCACCAGAGCTGTTGCCAAATAATTGAATGTTCATTTCTCTACCATAAGCCGCCTCAAACGTCGTTTTAGAAAATTTTAAAAAATTGGGCAATACATCCAACAGGCTTCACAACCGCAGACCACGTGTAACCATGCCAGCCCAGGACCGCCACATCCGGCTTCTTCACCTGCGAGATAGTCTGAGACCAGCTACCCGGACAGCTGATTAAACTGTGGGTTTGCACAACCGAAGACTTTCTGCACAAACTGTCAGAAACCATCTCAGGGAAGCTCATCTGCATGCTCGTCGTCCTCACCAGGGTCTTGACCTGACTGCAGTTCGGCGTCAGTGGGCAAATGCTCACCTTCATTGGAATGCTGGAGAAGTGTGCTCTTCACAGATGAATCACAGTTTCAACTGTACCGGGCAGATGGTATGGTGTCGTGTGGGCGAGTGTTTATTTGGTGTCAATGTTGTGAACAGAGTGCCCCATGGTGGCGGTGGGGTTATGGTATGGGCAGGCACAAGCTACGGACAACGAACACAATTGCATTTGATCTATGGCAATTTGAATGCACAGAGATACCGTGACAAGATCCTGAGGCCCATTGTGGTGCCATTCATCTGCCGCCATCACCTCATGTTTCAGCATGATAATGCACGGCCCCATGTCGCAAGGTCCCAGTTCTTCCATGGCCTGCATCTTCCACTCACCAGACGTCATGCATTGAGCATGTTTGGGATGCTCTGGATCGATGCGTATGACAGCGTGTTCCAGTTCCCGCCATTATCCAGCAACTTCCCATAGCCATTGAAGAGGAGCGGGACAACATTCCATAGGCCACAATCAACAGTCTGATAAACTCTATGCGAAGGAGATGTGTCGCGCTGCATGAGGCAAATGGTTGTCACACCAGATACTGACTGGTTTTCTGATCCACGCCCCTACCAGGTATCTGACCAACAGATGCATATCTGCATTCCCAGTCATTTGAATAACAATAGATTAGGGCCTAATGAATGTATTTCAATTGACTAATTTCCTTATATGAACTGTAACTCAGTAAAATCTTTGAAATTGTTGCATGTTGCGATTATATTTTTGTTCTGTGTAATTTCTGTGAAACAAATGTGGTGTATTTTCTATACCTCCTTTACCAATAAAATGTTGGGTGGTGGGCACCAATATCAATAATTTGATATCAATATAGTTTGAACATTCACACTTGGCCCAATGGACAGTGAACAGATAAGTCTACACTCACATACAGTCGTTTGAAATATTTTTTATAAAACCAATATGATATCGATATGGAAAAATGCAACTGATATCGATACAGATTTTCCATTTCGGTGCCCATCACTAGGTACACATATAATATTATTTAAGGTAATACTCAAGTTTTAATCTGCACCGGTCAGGAAACGAAAAACACATAAAAATTGGGGGTTGTGGACATAGGTCACACAATTCAGTTTTCCTCACTGAAAATGCAAGGAGAGAAAGCTGCAACTGGATGGGTGTAAATAATTCAAAAGGGCCACGGAGAATGTAACAAAGTCGTTACAACCCTCCAGATTTAATTTCCATCACAATTAATGCATTAGACAATTAGCCAGCTTCCCATCCACTCATATAGGGGACTTGAGAGCCACGAACACTGAGCACAACTAAATGAATCAGGCAATCAGCAGAACTGTTGGTCCGGAGCGCTCCCTAACTGCCAGCTGGCCTATTCATCTGTTTACATGTGGATTCAGACTGCGGCAGTAGACTCTCCTCCATGTTTTACTATTGAAACTGCTACAGAGGGCAAAACACTGTAATCCACCATAATGGTAATCATTTATCCTCTGCCACCGGACTGTATCCTCATTAACAGCTGCGCGTACACTCTCCCGTCAGCCCTTAGTTTTATACCCTGGTCGAAATAGAATTCCCCTGTCAGTTTTGCCCAGCTGCAATCTCCCCGAAATTACCCTTAGATTATCCCTGAAAATTATAGGAGAAATCACGCCTAGGCAGGACACTCTAGAGCGGGGCGGGAAAAAAACATACCACACTTTTGAAATGATTGCGTTACTGAAAACACAGCCGATGTTAAATTATTAACAGAGGGGCTGAATTAATGATGGCGTGAGAGATGGAGGTGCACAGAGCAGGATCAAGAACCTCCCTGAGAGCTCACCACCTTGCCTGTGTTTCCTAGGGCTTTTTCAGTGTAGCGTAGTGATCATGCTGATAGTAGAGCTTCAGGCCTTGGTAGAGGTAGTGGTGAGAGGGGTTGGGGGTAAAGTCTTACCGCACGAGGTGTTGATGACGTCCCGCAGCTCGGCGTATTTCCACTTGCTCAGGTCGTACTTCTTCACGCCAGCAGCTTTGAGTGCCTGCACCTGTGAACCCCTGCAGTCTCGGCAAGCAAGGGAGAGAAGAGAGAGAGTCAATTTAATCGTAATTCAACATCTGACAGGTCCGAGCAGTGGGACGTCTCGGAATCCCCGCTCGGATTGGCGCACCATAGTGCTGTGGTGGTCATGTTCAGAGACTAAACTACTGGTAACAGATGTTCAGAGACTAAACTACTGGTAACAGAGAAGTTATCAAGTGCTAAGTGGGGCAAAACCTGGGAAATCTGTGTCTGCCATCACTCCCACTAGGAGGTGGATGAAGCAGACAGTAGGGGAGCCGGACTGCATGCATGGGCTCCCGAGTGGCGCAGTGGTCTAAGGCACTGCATCTCAGTGCTTGAGGCGTCACTACAGACCCCCTGGTTCGATTCCAGGCTGTATCACAACCTGCCGTGATTGTGAGTCCCATAGGGCGGCGCACAATTGGCCCAGCGTCGTCCGGGTTTGGTCGGTGTAGGCCGTCATTGTAAATAAGAATTTGTTCTTAACTGACTTGCCTAGTTAAATAAAAGGTAAAATAAAAAAAATAAAAAAATGAATGTGCCCTACTCCCTTGTCACCATCCACTAGGGCTGTCCCCGACCCCAAAAATATATTGGTAGACCGAAAGTATGTTCTTTCGACCAGTGAGCTCGGGACAAACACAGCTGTAGGCTATTTGTAGGCCGCATGGCCAAACTGAGCAATCGGGGGAGAAGGGTCTTGGTCAGGGAGGTGCCCAAGAACCTGATGGTCACTCTGACAGAGCTCCAGAGTTCCTCTGTGGAGATGGGATAACCTTCCAGAAGGACAACCATCTCTGCAGCACTCCATCAATCAGGCCTTTATGGTAGAGTGGCTAGACAGAAGCCACTCCTCAGTAAAAGGCACATGACAGCTCACTTGGAGTTTGCCAAAAGGCACCTAAAGGTCTCTCAGACCATGAGAAACGAGATTCTCTGGTCTGATGAAACCAAGATTTAACTATTTGGCCTTAATGCCAAGCGTCACGTCTGGAGGAAACCTGGCACCATCCCTACGGTGACGCATGGTGGTGGCAGCATCATGCTGTAGGGATGTTTTTCAGCGGCAGGGACTGGGAGACTAGTCAGGATCGAGGCAAATATGAACGGAGCAAAGTACAGAGAGATCCTTGATGAAAACCTGCTCCAGAGCACACTAAGCACACAGCCAAGACAACGCAGGCGTGGCTTCGGGACAAGTCTCAATGTCCTTGAGTGGCCCAGCCAGAGCCCAGACTTCAACCCGATCAAACATCTCTGGAGACACCTGATAATAGACGCTCCCTATCCAACCTGACAGAGCTTGAGAGGATCTGCAGGGAAGAATGGGAGAAACTCCCCAAATACAGGTGTGCCAAGTTTGTAGCGTCATCCCCAAGAAGACTCGAGGTTGTAATCGTTGCCAAAGGTGCTTCACAAAGTACTAAGTAAAGGGTCTGAATACTTATGTAAATATGATATTTCCGTTTTTTATACATTTAAAATTTGCAAAAATTTCTACAAACCTGTTTTTGCTTTGTCATTATGGGGTATTGTGTGTAGATTGATTTAGGGAAAAAATCTATTGAATCCATTTTAGAATAAGGCTGTAACGTAACAAAATGTGGAAAAAGTCAAGGGGTCTGAATACTTTCCAAATGCACTGTCTGTAATGGGGAATTGATAGACTAACAATCAAACGCAAACAATTCACTCAATGAAGTTATGAAACAATGAATGTGCACAAATTTGCGTGAGCGCATTCTGGAGAGAGACGTGCATTGTGCATCTTAGCCACGCTCCCCTTCTTCTTGGACGGTGCCATCCCCGCGGCCTCCACAATGGATTAGTCTCGGCCTCCGCAATGGATTAGTTCACAGAGATGGGCGCAAATAAGACAGGTGTCGCGTGTGCAAAAAAAATTTATAATAATATTAATTAAAAAAAATAAAATACAATATATTTGCTACTGCTCGACCAAAAAAATATCTCAGTCGGCCAACAGTCTATCAACCAAACAATCGACCAGTCAACTAATTGGGGTCAGCCCTACCACCCACCCACCCTGAATCAGTGTGTTCCTGGGCTTACGTAAGCACCGTCTGCAGCCCTTCCCCGCCCTCCTGCAGTGCTCTGCTGAGACCTCTAATTCAATAACCCGGCAGGCAGGATTTGGCCCCTATTTACGGGTGGCCCTCCAGGTCTGTATGGGTCTGTAAGGGTGTCTATGAGCCAAGGCTTTGGGCCGCTGTAGAGGGATCCTTGGGTCTGCTGGGGCTAATCCAATAGCGGACGTTAAGCTCCCCCATGGGAGGAGGGCCAGCCTGGGCAGATACCAGAGTGACAGAAAGATGACAGGGAGAGACAGTGGCGCGTGTGGTGGTGACAGCTTGTGTGACCTTTGGGGCTGAGTGCTGGATAATTGACATGTCACCCCCTCAAAGTGCGACAGGGGTAACAGGGATTGAGAGTGAGATAGACACAGAGACTCTGAGGTGCGTTGGCCAACATTGGAGGGATTAAGAGCTAACTAGGGCTTACAAAATAGTGCCTACTAAAGACGAGGCGAGCAACTCTGATGCCTTTAAGGAAGTTAGCTGTTGTCAAACCACAGCTGCACACAATCAGATTTCATCCCAAAATAAACACACACACACAAACTGATTTCAAGATTCAATACACTTAACAAGATAACACCCTTGGTAAAAATGTCTTCATTTCCTATTGCTCACTAGGATTTTTAACTATTTTATAACTAACAAAACAATGAATGTCGGAAATGATTTGATTGATTAATTTGAGTGATTCAGGTGATCGTTGATCCGGCAACAAACCATATATCCCCATTACCACCAAGACAGAACATTTCCAGGGCAATTTCCTCCCTATAAACACAATAATACCAGTATACAAAAATAACTGAACAGAATGATAAATCATTTTCTCTGATTCATACACATTCATACACAGGTAACTGCCAAAATAAAGGAAACACTTGAGTAAATGAGGGATAGGTCGTTGTCAATAAAACATCACAATACGGTGCAGAGCGTTCGATTTGGCTGCTGGGGGGCAACGAGATCCCCAGCTCCGCTAAAACTACATGCCGTTTTCAAGGGATTGTTAAATAAATATGAACTATTTGGTTGTAATATCATCACCTCTTGAAGAGCATAGTCAGAATCACACGTCTGATTATTCCATGCATAACAATTGCGCACATTTAGCTCTATCATCAGAGTTCTACAGCAACTAACTGCATGCTTTTCATGATCAGTAAACATCAAGTGATCATGTAATTTCAGATGTGAGGATAGCCTCACAATCTCTTAATATTGACCACCATATAATTTGATATTTAAAATAAAAGTGAACTAACTATACCTGACAAGTGTGAGTGGTTTAGGTTAATTTCCCATCCTTTGTGTGCTCTGCCTGTCATGCAGCAAAAGGGACCATTTGCAGATGTACTGTTAGCTGATAATGTTAAGCCTACTTTGCAAGCTACCGGTATAAACGTTGTACAGTTGGCTAAACATAGTGGGTAAGTAGACCTAATGTACTTAATCTCCAACCAATGTAGGCCTACCTAGCAAAGTTACCTAATATCCCCTGTTCAACATTGTTTTTAAGAGTGTTTAATCACGATTGCTGCTGACAGACATGATAAGCTACATTGATTGATGGACCACGCTAAATTTGCTAGCTAGCCAATAACAGACCACGTCAATATGGCTAGGTAACAAGCTAACTTTTAGGGGATAAACTAGATGGCTCTATTTGCTTGCCATCTATAGCGGTGATGACAGTAGTCCAACTGACAACTTTACCAGGACAAGGACTATCAAACTCTTTCCAAAAAGCTAATCTCTGATGAAGCAAGCTAAATTATGTTGGTTGCTTAGCTAACTACATGCCAAATGGATAGGTACCCTCACGTATCTGAAATTACATGACCAATTGACATTTACTGATCATGAAAAGCATGCAGTTACTTGCTGTATAACTCTGATGATAGAGCTAAATGTGTGCAATTGTTTTGCATGGAATAATAAAAAATATATATCTGACTATGCTCTTCAAGAGGTGATGATAATAAACTCAAATAGTTATAACATTAAACAATTCCTTGAATAACAGAACGTAGTTGTCAATAGGTTTAGCGGAGCTGGGGGACTCATTGTCCCCCAGCAGCCAAATGGAATGTATTGTGATGTTTTATTGATAACGACCTATTGCAAGCAGGTGCTTCCACACTGGTGGAGTTAAATAAGCAATTAACATCCCATCATGCTTAGGGTCATGTATAAACATGCCCAGTTGCCCATTATTTTGGCTACCATGGCTAGAAGAAGAGATCTCAGTCACTTTGAAAGAGGGGTCTCAAAGGAGCATAGGGGGTTTAAAGGGTATATGTGTGTCTCAGTCACCAGATTTTAACCCAATAGAACACTTATGGAATATTCTGGAGCGGCGCCTGAGACAGCGTTTTCCACCACCATCAACAAAACACAGAATTTCTCTTGGAAGAATGGTGTCGCATCCCTCCAAAAGAGTTCCAGACACTTCTAGAATCTATAACAAGGCACATTGAAGCTGTTCGCCATATTAAGACACTATGTTGGTGTTTCACTTATTTTGGCAGTTACCTGTATCTGTATCCCCATTAGTCACGGAGACCAGGGTGGCTTCCACAAAGAGCTGTGTGTTCAGCCATCCGATACATTGACGTCAGCGTGTGTTGTGACAGTCACACACTGTTGTGACACTTGTGGCCTGTTGACACCTGTGAGCGGTGGAAGCTGCTTAACTGTATCCCTCAGTGACAAGTCGTGAAGAAGTCACCTGACGGGTGAACAGGTACCTGTAGGCCAGGTGTTCAGGAAACCCAAATACAATCCTACTCATTTTTTTTTACATTTTACATTTTTGGTCATTTAGCAGACGCTCTTATCCAGAGCGACTTACAGTTAGTGAGCGCATACATTATTTTTTATATATTTTTTTTTGGGGGGGGGGGGGGGGGGGGGGGGGGTTGTTCATACTGGCCCCCCGTGAGAATCGAACCCACAACCCTGGCGTTGCAAACACCATGCTCTACCAACTGAGCTACATCCCTGCCGGCCATTCCCTCCCCTACCCTGGACGACGCTGGGCCAATTGTGCGCCGCACCATGGGTCTCCCGGTCGCGGCCGGTTACGACAGAGCCTACTCTGTTCCAACTATGACTAAACCGATTTATTCTATAACGGTAGTAGCTACTGATATCATTACTGGAGTGTTAAGATTGAGTCCTAACTAGTTATTAAGTTCTGTCACCAACGGTGGTTAGGAGTTAGGTCTACAGTACATCTCGACTGTGTAGTAGATTAGTTTACAGAGGGGGAGGAGCTTTGTGTGTTTGTTCAAGTAATTATGCAAAGCTATCAGAGAAGATACAATAGGAATGGAATATCAATGTTTTCCATATCAATAAGAACAAATACAATATATGAAAAAAGCCAGAGAATATACACTGTGAATGCCTTGAGTTGTTGATGTCCACCAGCACTGCAAACAGAGGATACAGTATGAATAGACTGGGGCAACAGAAGAACCAGCAGAAGCTGATTGGAATGTCCTGTTATACATTCCTGTTTAGATTTGGCACACAGTGGTCATCTGTTTGCGACAGGCTAATTATCAGACGTGCTTATCCCCTGGCCCTGTTGATTCATGCCCCGGGCAGGGAACACAACGGCGGATTGAATGCAGTGTTATTGGGTTCTATCCAATGTGAATAATTAGATAACTAGCGTATTGTTTATGATGGCTTTGCATGGGCTGGTAAAATCATGGATCTAGGTTGATGAAAGATTAGATGAGGTTGAGATGAAGGATTACTGGGTTGTGTTAGGTTACTGGAAGCAGGAGGCTAAGCTAATGGCTAATGTCTTACATGGCTCTCACTGTGTTTGGATAGAGACCTGAGAAAGCCCCATTGCTGGGAGAGGAGGAGAAAAGAGGTTCCACATGCATGCAGTGGACAGGCGTGGTCTCCTTATGGACCTAAATAAAGAAATACAACAGCTATTTTTATTTGACTTCTTGAATCGTTTCAGCTCCTATTAAACAATTTCTGGGTTAAACAACAACCTTGTCTGCTTAGTCAACCTTGGGTAGGCCCAGTAAAAACCTAATCTAGGGCTTGTTTATTGAGACATGACAATATAATCATACTAACATATAGAGGGACAGATAAGTGTGTATATCCGTGTGTGTACCTGCGCAGGCTGGGGTCCACCTGGGCATCGTCGGTGATGAGTTCTGCTTCGCTCTGGGCGATCCTCATGGCCAGCTCTCTGTCTCTCCTCTCCTGCTCCAACATGGCCGACCGCTGGACGTCCTCCTCCCGCTCCAGCGCTATCTGGATGTCCATCTCCGCCTGAACACAAACACACATCTTCATCATCGTCACTGCATCATAATTCTCAATATCACATATGAGTGGTTCATCTACAGGGCATACACTTCATTTATGATAACCGTTATCGATGTGAAGCATCACTAGAGCAAAGAACAGACTATCATTATGATTGGACTCAACTTTCAGAAAGTTTACCTTTAAAAAGTTAGTAAGAGTATTTATTAAATGCCATAGATTCCCATTTTCATAGTGATTGACCGAACACCTCACTTTTAATCTTCAAACACAGCCAGTAAACTCGGATGTTGTTCTTCTCACACTTCTCGGGGGAAAAGCCAGAGACCTCTGGAGTCAGAGATTAGAGCAGGGCCAGCGGCTGAGGGGCTGTGCCGGGCCAACTCTACCCCATCAGACTGTCTGTCCTGGGGAGCGATGGAGCCTCAACTGGCCCTGAGTGGCAGGAGGAGAACTTAGGCAATAACATGGCCTGCTGTGTGGTAAGGCCTGATTAGACATATTATCGTGGTTCTAGCAGCTGCTAATGTGTCTGTCCCTGTGATTGCGCATCTAGACGACGCAGAACTGCACCCAGCAGACAACCGCAAAAACAACTAATCAGAGACGTAGGTCAGAGGGAACGCTTAAGACGTTGTGAGGAAGTTGGAGGGCTGTTTATCGGAGGGCTGTTCAACAACGCGCTATTTATCGGAGGGCTGTGTATCGGAGGGCTGTTTTGGTAGGTAGCAAAGAAAGTTGGAGAGGGAGAAATAGAGGGCAAGGTGAAAAAAATATTTTGCAGTTCTACACAAACTCTGAGAAGTTGCAGAGGAAACCACAGAAAAGGTGTATTTCCACAGTTCTAAAGCTTTTAGGTAGGTTGAGCTGAGGCTATTGTGGACCTAAGAAAGAGGCTTCAGAAACTCATAACCGATGAAACGGACCGCTAAAAGCAATGGGTGGCGATATGTGAATATCAATGCTGGGCTGGGGTGAGCTGAAAAGGGCAGACGTGAGTGCTTCTGCTTGCGGTCCATTCATTGAACTAGCGTCGGTACTCCTAGGATTCCTAGACTAGCAGGAAAGCTTTGATCAGGCCTGGGTCTCTACCCCTGGTAGATTATAGACAGTGTAGTGGTGGTGACCTCCAGGAGAGAATCACCAAGGAGATAATAGGAGGGTAGAGAAAGATGTAAAGGGGGGTAGAGGGGGAAAGAATAGGAGGGCAGGGAAAAAGGGAGGGCTGGTGGGTTGAGAGGGAGAGAACAGGATTGCAGAGGAAGAGGGAGGGCTGGTGGGTTGAGAGGGAGAGAACAGGATTGCAGAGGAAGAGGGAGGGCTGGTGGGTTGAGAGGGAGAGAACAGGATTGCAGGGGGAGAGGGAGGGCTGGTGGGTTGAGAGGGAGAGAACAGGATTGCAGAGGAAGAGGGAGGGCTGGTGGGTTGAGAGGGAGAGAACAGGATTGCAGGGGGAGAGGGAGGGCTGGTGAGGGTGAGAGAGGAGAGAACAGGATGTGAGAGAGGAAGAGGGAGGGGCTGGTGGGTTGAGAGGGAGAGAACAGGATTGCAGGGGGAGAGGGAGGGCTGGTGGGTTTGAGAGGGAGGAGAACAGGATGGACAGAGGAAGAGGGGACGGGCTGGTGGGTGAGAGGGAGAGAACAGGATTGCAGAGGAAGAGGGAGGTAGGGACTAGAGAGAGAAGAGAACAGTAGAGCAGGAAAAGAGAAGAGTGGCTAGAGAGAGAGAGAGAGAGGACTAAGGATGAAAGAGGAACAAAATAAGAGGAGGGTCAGAGACAGGGGGTTGGTAAGAGGAAGGAGAGCAGTAGTGAAGGAAAAGAGGAGTGACCAGTGTTTTCCAATAGCGCCTGCTGTCGACTAAATCAGCCGGTTGTTTACAGGCTCATTTTCAGCCGGCTACATTTTTCACTTCATATTACAGTAACTAGGCTACTTTTCGTTTAAAGGTTTTAATTGGCCCTCTCTCGCTATAATGAACGATATGCATCTTCTAGCGATCTGTTGATAGGATAGGCTCCTGTCAGTCACAAAGCGAGTGATGACAAGGAAAACGCAGCAGAGAGGAAGCTAGAGTTTTCACTCTTGCCAAAGATCTGTCCAAAAAAGTGGGCGTATTCTTGACCTAAGCTTGTCGCCTGCCTTCCTGCCTTTGGGACAATGACTCCCATTGTTAGAGTGGAGACATTAGCATCTCGTCATACAAATCTCTGATTGCAGTCGAATTTCTTTACATGGAGGAGGGAGAGAGCATGATGCTTGTGAATTAGCACGTCCCATGTAATGTAGGGTGAATTCAGAAAAAAACTGGGAAAGCTTAATCCTCGTTTATTTCTTGGTCTGCCAAGTGAAAATCAAAACTATTGTTACTACGCTGTTGCAGAGAAACCACATTATCAAAATCACATCACTTCATTGGTGTGATGTCAGAGGGGGCAGAGCAAGCTTCTAACAGGAAGCTCAACCCCCAAGCACACCATAAGATCAGTGACAGATTTATTTCTGTTTTGACGTTAAGGTTATAAAACGGTCATAAATAATGCACTGTGCAAAATTGTGATGTAAATGTGCATACTATGTACTGGTGCATCAAAATAAAATAAAAAAGTAGCCAATATGTTATCATTTTTTTAGTCCTGCTTTATCAACCATAGCTAGCTAAAGTGAGACAATCTTATAGGCTTTTCCAATGGAGGAAAGAGATCCAGTTTACATTAGGGACCCTGTATTTAGATTAGGCAAGGCTCTGGTTCTTGTAATACTGTTAACATGCACCAAGCAGGTAGTAGGGTGACACTTTTTACATTTCTGTATTCTGTAACCTCTTTCAACATCTATCCAACATATTAGACCAACACATTAAACATTTCTAAAATCCTCAAGCTGTTTCCTAATCGCACAAATTAATTGTCATTCGGGTACAGTTTATCTAACCTGCTGTTCCTGAAAATATGGTTTTGGCTCAGTGTACACAAATGGGTGTGTCATGCCTCCTGTGAATATGATATCAACATTGTCCTTTTTGTGTAATTAGGAAACATCTTGAGGATTTCAGAAATGTATCATGTGTTGGGCTAATATGTTGGATAGATGTTGAAAGAGGTTACAGAAGACAGAAATGTAAAAAATGTCACCCTACTACCTGCTTGGTGCAGACGGAAATTAATTACTTAAAAATCATACAATGTGATTTTCTGGATTTTTGTTTTAGATTCCGTCTCTCACAGTTGAAGTGTACCTATGATAAAAAATTACAGACCTCTACATGCTTTGTAAGTAGGAAAACCTGCAATATATACCTGTCCGCAACGGGTGTGGCTGAAATAGCCAAATCCACTAATTTTAGGGGGTGTCCACACACACTATATATACAAAAGTATCTCCCATCCTCATAACTAGCTACCAAGAAGCCATTTCAGGCTATCAATCAAGTTAGAGTAGCTAGCTTGTCTAACTATCTTAGCTGACAAGCCTGCTGGCAAGGTTGGTAGAAAAGCAAGCAATTACAAAATGTACTTAATAAGACTCACATTCCTTTCAATCTTTTACCCAGATTTACAGAGATGCATTGAAGCACATTTAGTTTCTTTAAAAAAAGGAAGATACAGCATAATGATTATGGCTCTGAAAAATGCATTCTCCAACTTTGGGACAGGGGGCCCAGCCACCCTTCAGACCACTGCCCAGCCATCCTCCCGTACTTTGTGACCCCATTTTTTTTTTTTATGTATCAGATTTTTCCCAGACATCAAAAGTGGTCTCCTGATGTGGTTTAAGCATTGTTATGTTCTTACAACATCCAATTTTGTTGTTTTTCTATAAAAAAAAAAGTGTGATTGAGAACGAAACACTTTATGTTTTAATAAAATACATAATTTGGTAAACAAACATCAGTGGCAATACATATCTTGCAGTAAAACTGTAAATAAGACTTTAATTTCAAGAGAAGACAGGTTAAATGTTTAAAATGTTTCATGTTTTCTTACTTAGATAATAGTCCGGAACATATAGTCCTAGACAAGATCCAAAACAACTAACAGACTGAATTCATTCATTTTCAGTCATTTAAATTGTAAAGTCATGTCTTTCTATACAATACCACAACTATTCTTTCCAATCTCGGAGGTAAACTCAATAAAGTTTTCAATCATCTCACTGTGTATTTCAGAGGGAATCAAGGCTTTAGAATGTACCAGAGGCCACCAAAATACAGCTAATTCGGCAAAACATGTCGAACCCCCAGCCCGGGGGTGCCTGGAGGGCTACTTTTTCTATTTGGCTGGCTACTCTATGTACTTGTGGAAAACTGTGATGAATAAGGAAGGAAAATGATTGATGGAGATGGAGGGTTGAGAACAGAAGAAGAAGAATGAGAGGAAATAGGAAAAAATTGTGGGGGAAAGGGGGCCTGAGGCTGGGAATAGAGGGCAGAGGAGGAGAGAAAGAGGGAACTGCATTATGGTAATACAGGGCAGGAGAGGGAATACAGGGCAGGAGAGGATAGGAGGGGGAATACAGGGAGAAGGGGACAGGAGGGCAGGAGGAGGGGAATAAGGCAGGAGAGGGCAGGAGGGGGAATACAGGGCAGGAGGAGGGCAGGAGGGGGAATAAGGGCAGAGGGCAGAGGGACAGGAGGGGGAATCAGGGGCAGGGAACAGGGCAGGAGAGGGCAGGAGAGGGCAGGAGGGGAATACAGGGCAGGAGAGGGAGGAGAGCGGCAGGAGGGGAATACAGGGCAGGAAGGGCAGGAGGGGGAATACAGGGCAGAGAGGACAGGAGGGGAATACAGGGAGGAGGGGCAGGAGGGGGATACAGGGCAGGAAGGGCAGGAGGGGGAATACAGGGCAGGAGAGGGAGGAGGGGGAATACAGGGCGAAGGAAGGAGGAATCAGGAGGAGAGGGAATACAGGGCAGGAGAGGAGAGGGGAATACAGGGCAGGAGCAGGAGGGGAAACGGGCGAGAGAGGAGGGGGAATACAGGGCAGGAGAGGACAGGAGGGGGAATACAGGGACAGGAGAGGGCAGGAGGGGGGAATACAGGGCAGGAGAGGATAGGAGGGGGAATACAGGGCAGGAGAGGACAGGAGGGGGAATACAGGGCAGGAGAGGACAGGAGGGGGAATACAGGGCAGAGAGAGGACAGGAGGGGGAATACAGGGCAGAAGAGGACAGGAGGGGGAATACAGGGCAGAAGAGGAGAGGAGGGGAATACAGGGCAGGAGAGGATAGGAGGGGGAATACAGGGCAGAAGAGGCATGGAGGGGGAATACAGGCAGAAGAGGATAGGAGGGGGAATACAGGGCAGGAAGAGGACAGGAGGGGGAATACAGGGCAGAAGAGGACAGGAGGGGGAATACAGGGCAGGAGAGGAAGGAGGGGAATACAGGGCAGAGAGGACAGGAGGGGGAATACAGGGCAGAGAGGAAGGAGGGGGAATACAGGGCGAGAAGAGGATAGGAGGGGGAATACAGGGCAGAAGAGGACAGGAGGGGGAATACAGGGCAGAAGAGGATAGGAGGGGGAATACAGGGCAGAAGAGAGAGGGGATACAGGAGAGGGATAGGAGGGGATACAGGGCAGAAGAGGACAGGAGGGGGAATACAGGGCAAAGGAGAGGGAACAGGAGAGGATAGGGGATACAGGGCAAGGAGAGGACAGGAGGGGGAATACAGGGCAGGAGAGGATAGGGAGGGGGAATACAGGGCAGGAGAGGATAGGAGGGGGAATACAGGGCAGGAAGAGGGACAGGAGGAGGGAATACAGGGCAGGAAGAGGATAGGAGGGGGAATACAGGGCAGGAGAGAGGAGGGGAATACAGGAGAGAGGACAGGAGGGGGAATACAGGGCAGGAGAGGATAGGAGGGGGAATACAGGGCAGGAGAGGAAGGAGGGGGAATACAGGGCAGGAGAGGAAGGAGGGGGAATACAGGGCAGGAGAGAGAGGTAGGAGGGGAATACAGGGCAGGAGAGGATAGGAGGGGGAATACAGGGCAGAAGAGGACAGGAGGGGGAATACAGGGCAGGAGAGGATAGGAGGGGGAATACAGGGCAGAAGAGGACAGGAGGGGGAATACAGGGCAGGAGAGGATAGGAGGGGGAATACAGGGCAGGAGAGGGCAGGAGGGGGAATACAGGGCAGAAGAGGACAGGAGGGGGAATACAGGCAGGAGAGGACAGGAGGGGAATACAGGCAGAAGAGGAAGGAGGGGGAATACAGGGCAGGAGAGGCAGGAGGGGAATACAGGGCAGGAAGGGCAGGAGGGGGAATACAGGGCAGAGAGGACAGGAGGGGGAATACAGGGCAGGAGAGGATAGGAGGGGGAATACAGGGCAGGAGAGGGCAGGAGGGGGAATACAGGGCAGAAGAGGAAGGAGGGGGAATACAGGGCAGGAGAGGGAAGGAGTGGAGGGAATACGGGCAGGAGCAGAGGGAATGGCAAGAAGGAGGGGAATACAGGGCAGGAGGATAGAGGGGGAATACAGGGCAGGAGAGGATAGGAGGGGATACAGGCAGGAGAGATAGGAGGGGGAATACAGGGCAGGAGAGGATAGGAGGGGGAATACAGGGCAGGAGAGGATAGGAGGGGGAATACAGGGCAGGAGAGGATAGGAGGGGGAATACAGGGCAGGAGAGGAGAGGATAGGAGGGGGAATACAGGGCAGGAGAGGATAGGAGGGGGAATACAGGGCAGAAGAGGATAGGAGGGGGAATACAGGGCAGAAGAGGATAGGAGGGGGAATACAGGGCAGGAGAGGATAGGAGGGGGGATACAGGGCAGGAGAGGACAGGAGGGGGAATACAGGGCAGGAGAAAATAAGGGAACTGGTAATGGAGGGCAGGGTGGAAAGCAGAGGACTAAGCACAGAGGGAGCAGGGTAGTTCTGGGAAGGAGAAAGTCGGCAGGAGTGATCCATCATCAGCCAGGGACGGCCCACTGGGGAATCTGACGAATGCCAAGACCCTGGCCGTCTCCCTGTGAGACGGGGGAGCCAATGACTTTCACTCAGTGGGAACAGTGGTGTAGCTCAGTTGGTAGAGCATGGCGCTTGCAATGCCAGGGTTGTGGGTTCGATTCTCATGACTAAGTCACTTTGGATAAAAGCGTCTGCTAAATGCCACATATATATTTTATTAGGTTGAAAGAAAAAATATTCGTATATATATACACAGATTAAATATATAGAGATCTCAGTACAACAATTACGACTGGTAAGAAATCAATCCATGCTGCTCCATAGTAAGAGATTACAGGCTACTCCATAGAAAGAGATTACAGGCTATTCCATAGTAAGAGATTACAGGCTACTCCGTAGTAATAGATTACAGGCTACATAGTAAGAGACTACATGCTACTCCATTGTAAGAGACTACAAACTACTCCGTAGAAAGAGATTACAAACTACTCCATAGTAAGAGATTACAGGCTACTCCATAGTAAGAGACTACATGCTACTCCATAGTAAGAGATTCCAGGCTATTCCATAGTAAGAGATTACAGGCTACTCCATAGTAAGAGATTACAGGCTATTCAATATTAAGAGATTACAGGCTACTCCATAGTAAGAAGCTACAGGCTACTCCGTAGTAAGAGATTACAGGCTACTCCGTAGTAAGAGATTACAGGCTACTCCGTAGTAAGAGATTACAGGCTACTCCGTAGTAAGAGATTACAGGCTACTCCATAGTAAGATATTACAGGCTACTCCATTGTAAGAGACTACAGGCTACTCCGTAGTAAGATATTACAGGCTACTCCATAGTAAGAGATTACAGGCTACTCTGTAGTAAGAGATTACAGGCTACTCTGTAGTAAGAGATTACAGGCTACTCCGTCGTAAGAGATTACAGGCTACTCCATAGTAAGAGATTACAGGCTACTCCGTAGTAAGAGATTACAGGCTACTCCATAGTAAGAGATTAAATGCTACTCCATAGTAAGAGATTACAGGCTACTCCATAGTAAGAGACTACAGGTTACTCCGTAGTAAGAGATTACAGGCTACTCCATAGTAAGAGATTACATGCTACTCCATTGTAAGAGACTACAGGCTACTCCGTAGTAAGAGATTACAGGCTACTCCATAGTAAGATATTACAGGCTACTCCGTAGTAAGAGATTACAGGCTACTCCGTAGTAAGAGATTACAGGCTACTCCGTAGTAAGAGATTACAGGCTACTCCGTAGTAAGAGATTACAGGCTACTCCGTAGTAAGAGATTACAGGCTACTCCGTAGTAAGAGATTACATGCTACTCCATAGTAAGAGATTACAGGCTACTCCATAGTAAGAGACTACAGGTTACTCCATAGTAAGAGATTACAGGCTACATAGTAAGAGATTACAGGCTAATCCGTAGTAAGAGACTACAGGCTACTATCAGGCAATAGGGTCAATATGTGTTTGGTGTGTCTTGTAGGAGGGGAAGGGTAACAAAGCTCTCCTTTTCCACAAAAATATCACTTCAGTGGGGTCACAAACCTGCATAATCCTCTTTTCTTCCTCCCTCCTCTTCCTCTCCTCCTCCTCATGCTTCCTCTTATGCTCCATCTCTGATTTCCTAATGAGAGGGGGCAGGGACGACAGAGGTGGTTAATGCTCTTATATGGCAAAACGCCATGTTACTTTAGATCACAGATGGACATGCCTCCTGCTGATCAATGTTCTCAATGACATGATCGAACGATGAACCATGTATAAACTCAATCTCTGAGCATCAACTCTGGACATATCCTGTTGGGGGTTTCTTTAAAATTGAGAGGTCATGTCAATGACTTCAACCAAAACACGGAGGGCTGCTGTGGGTGCACTGTGCAGGCATTTATTCCAGCCCAGCACTAACACACTAGATCCAAAAGCCTGCACACAGTGCAGCCCTCCACTACTGAAATAACCCACCCTAGTGCTAGCCCATTTATGTCTGTCTTGTATACATCCGATACCCCTCCACTTACTTCTTTCTGTCGCTCTCGTCCTGCTGCCGTTGCTGGTCCTCCTCCTCCCTCCTCTTCCTCTCTCTCTCCATCTCCTCTTCGATGAGCCGCAGCCGCTCCAGCTCCTCTTCCTCCTGCTTCTTCTTCTGCATGGAGGAGAGCAGCTGCTCCGAGCTCTTCACCAGCCCCTGGTACTTCTGGTTAATCTCCTTACGGGTCATCACCGTGGCCTATAGGAGGGGGCATAGGTCAAAGGAGTGGTGTCATAGTTCAAGGTCATTGGCATCAACATATAGGCCTATTCCAAAAAAGATGTATAGGCTAAAACCAGAATTATTTGGACTTGAGTTGTCACACAGTATGTCATGGTCAGAATTATAAACATATAGACAACATACACCTTCATAGACTAAACCCTGTTTATCGTTGGTTATGATACCCAATATGTGCTACTACTGTCCCCATTAGCACTGCTGCAGATGGAGCACACCGACTTTAACATAGGTATATGAGATACACTGAAAAGTCTATGGGGAATATGCTAAAAGTATCATCCAATTCTCAATATCCCAGAATCTAATTTAATCCTTGTTTCCTATATAAGTGGTGTAATTAAAACTGTCCAATTCCAGGAAGTGAGAGATGCAGCCCTCCGCAGTGAGCCTGGCTGACTCTGCACAAATCCCCTTGACTGTTTAGGGTTGTGACACCCTCCAGATGTATTCAATAAGCTAACCAGAGACACAACGACTGAGAGCCCCACCACCACCTGCTACTTCTACCACTGGTGCCCTGGTCACTTCAGTGTCACATCCTGTCTGTCAGCCTATCAGTGGGGGGTATAGGGTGGATTGATTTTCCTGACATGGTTCAGACAGACACCGCAGCAGGGAAATTACAAGATGACTGAATGACAGACATTGTTTATGGTTCTTGTATAATTCAGCTAGCGATGCTACGCTAGGGCCTTAGCGATGCTACGCTAGGCCCTTAGTGATGCTACGCTATGTGCGTCATAAAGGGCTGGGAATTGTGTTGGGCGCTGGTGAACACAGAGCAGATGCCAATGGGCTAACAGAGGAGCGTAGGGTCGGGCAGAGGCACAGAGGTGACTGAACTAGGGCGCTAGGGAGGAGAGAAAGAGAGTGGACCAGAGACATTTGCTCATGTGGAAAATGTTCTGCTCGGATGTCAGTCATCTAGTCTCTGGGATAACTAACCAGCTAACACACATCCGGCTACAAAGTCAAAATTTACTGACAACACTAAAATAATTAGGGAATCAATTACACAACTCAGAGTCTGGATAGCATGTGGCCCCGTGTAGCTCAGTTGGTAGAGCATGGCGCTAGCAACGCCAGGGTTGTGGGTTCGATTCCCACAGGGGGCCAGTATGAAAAATAAATGTACGCACTCACTAACTGTAAGTCGCTCTGGATAAGAGCGTCTGCTAAATGAATAAAATGTAAAAAAAAAATGTGGGTTGGGTTGATGTGTCACCCACTCAGAGGCCCTAAATAAGACTGGTGTTTCTAGCAGAGGGAGAGAGGGGAGATCCCTAACCATATTTAGACTGGTGTTTCTAGCAGAGGGAGAGAGGGGAGATCCCTAACCATATTTAGACTGGTGTTTCTAGCAGAGGGAGAGAGGGGAGATCCCTAACCATATTTAGACTGGTGTTTCTAGCAGAGGGAGAGAGTGGAAATCCCTAACCATATTTAGACTGGTGTTTCTAGCAGAGGGAGAGAGGGGAGATCCCTAACCATATTTAGACTGGTGTTTCTAGCAGAGGGAGAGAGGGGAGATCCCTAACCATATTTAGACTGGTGTTCTAGCAGAGGGAGAGAGGGGAGATCCCTAACCATATTTAGACTGGTGTTTCTAGCAGAGGGAGAGAGGGGAGATCCCTAACCATATTTAGACTGGTGTTTCTAGCAGAGGGAGAGAGGGGAGATCCCTAACCATATTTAGACTGGTGTTTCTAGCAGAGGGAGAGAGGGGAGATCTCTAACCATATTTAGACTGGTGTTTCTAGCAGAGGGAGAGAGGGGAGATCCCTAACCATATCTAGACTGGTGTTTCTAGCAGAGGGATAGAGGGGAGATCCCTAACCATATCTAGACTGGTGTTTCTAGCAGAGGGAGAGAGGGGAGATCCCTAACCATATTTAGACTGGTGTTTCTAGCAGAAGGAAAGAGGGGCGATCCCTAACCATATTTAGACTGGTGTTTCTAGCAGAAGGAAAGAGGAGAGATCCCTAACCATATTTAGACTGGTGTTTCTAGCAGAGGGAGAGAGGGGAGATCCCTAACCATATCTAGACTGGTGTTTCTAGCAGAGGGATAGAGGGGAGATCCCTAACCATATCTAGACTGGTGTTTCTAGCAGAGGGAGAGAGTGGAGATCCCTAACCATATTTAGACTGGTGTTCTAGCAGAAGGAAAGAGGGGTGATCCCTTACCATATTTAGACTGGTGTTTCTAGCAGAAGGAAAGAGGGGTGATCCCTTACCATATTTAGACTGGTGTTTCTAGCAGAAGGAAAGAGGGGTGATCCCATACCATATATAGATTGGTGTTTATGGCAGAGGAATAGAGGGGAGATCCCTTACCATATTTAGCCATTTTAAAGGATTACAGATCAAAACAACCCCAGGAAATGGCTTTCTGATGAGATGACAGGGAGATGAAATGAGATTAGAGAGAGATGCAATGAGATTAGCGGGATTAGATTAGAAAGTTAAGACATGTGAGTCACCCTGGCCTCCTCTGTGTAGGGTGAAGATGGCCCTAGACCAGGTTTCCCCAACTGGAGGGGTGATTTTATTTGCCCCCCAAGTTTTCTGAGCAATTTTTATTGTTGGACATATTAGACTGTAAAAACACAAGAAAATCAGTTCCAAGTGATTTTAATTTTGGAAATCTTTTCCAAAGTATTCCCACACATAACTGAGAGATATATATGTATACAAATGTAAGCCATGTTTGAAATTATGTTTTAGTCAAATATCTTTTTGGGCTTCTTGTGGTCAATTTTAAGTCTACAAATTATTTGTAATTATGTTCTGGACCCCTGACCATCCACTCAACAAAAAAATCTTCCTGCAGCTGGATCTAGTTGATGATCCCTGCCATAGACTCTGGGTCTGTTTAGTGTTTTCCCCACTAATGGTTAAAGGCCAAGTACAGTCAAAAAACACGATTTTCCTGTGTTTTATATACATTTATGATATGAGGTTGTAATAATACTGAAATTGTGAAAATTATGATCATGCCCTTTTAGTGTAAGAGTTGTTTGAAAAGACCGTCTAACATTTCAGCCTGTTTCGGCCTGCCTGGTGACATCACCAGGCGGTAAATTAGTTAATAAACCAATAAGAAAAGCCTCTCTGCCAATAACAGCTAGTTTTCAGTTTTCCCCACTCAGACAACTCCCAGACAGTCCTAGCTAAATTCTTGATTTTTGCTAAGAAGCAATTTTTGTTTATTTTTGACCATTTTAATTGAAAACAAATCACAGTAAGGTACTTCATTGTTACCCAGAAATGATTTGATATTGAGATAAAACAGCTGCATTGGACCTTTAAGGTTAGGATTGGGGCAGGGGAAGCTGATCCTAGATCTGTGCCTAGGAGAGCCCTACTCACCTTGATCTTGGCCATGAAGGTGTCGATGGAGGCCCCCAGCTCCTGCACCAGCTGGGCCATCTCCTGCTTTCCCTCCTTCAGAGCACCCACCACCTCGTTGAAGCGTTCCATCCGCATCTTCAGGTTCCGCACCTTCACCATGCCGTCGATGCTGTGGCCGTATGAGCGCACACACACACGTGTAAGAGCACATAAAAGTGCATGTGCACACACACGTGAGTACATGTGCACCCACGCACGCACGCACGCAAACATAAGTGTGAGCACGCTCGCACGTGCACATACACACAAGACAATTCAAAAAGCCATCACCCGGATGGATGCATTCACCAAAGCAATATATATCTTCTATATGCAATAGGGTGACAGAGAGTGCCACGAGTCACGGCTGAGCTCTCCAGATTGATTTGAACTTCTAACTGCACAATGTGGAGAAGCCATCAAAAGGCACAGAGTGTGAAGCACTTTTAAACAAAGATAATGTGTCTGTGTGCGCACTTGTGTGTGTGTGTGTGTGTGTGTACACACCCACCGTGGCTTATGTTTCCTCTTACAGAGCCACATGCGGATGGTCTTCTGAATCTTAATAAGGGCAGAGGCACGATACTTCATCTTCTCCTTTACTGTGGGGGGAGGGGGGGAGAGAAAGAAAGGGAGAGAGAGGCAAATAAATCGTCAAATCTAATCAACATAGTACTGGGCCAATTCACACAGAGATAAAGCCACACACAACTCCCTAAGATCTGTTAACTGAACTAGGGATATTAAGTTGGAGTTTTTTTTGTGGAAAATAAATGGAAGAGCAGCCAGCCGTCACAGTGCATACATCCTCAGATATTAGATATCCTGATGGTGAAATATGCAGGCAACTGGTGGGCCGAGGCAGTCTACAGTTATTACTTACGTGATATCATTGATTTGACGCTTTACCCTAATAAGCACTGCCGGTGCCTCACTTTGTTAAATGGGGGGAAAATCAATACAACTTGGCACGGAGGCTAATGGTTCAAGGAACTGCTTTTAGTGTGCAAGATTGCCTCGAGCATTCGAAACAAATAGCAAAATGCAATAGAAATGTGAAACATAAGAAATATGATAGTGGAACACAGCTGTCAGAGTGTGGTAATCAGTGTTCGACTAAATGGAGGGGAAAAACACAGTATCTCTCAAACTCTTGCCCTGAAGAAGTAGAGCCAAAATGATGTAAAGTTATGAGAAGTTTGGCAACTCCTGAATCATTTGAACCCTATTCATTATATTGGCTGTTTTGTTTGACAATTTAGATTTCTTTCTTGTCTTTTATTTTCCACCATTTTAAAGCCCCTGTACGGACTGACGCTGCAAATTAGCTCAACCTAAAGCAAGAGGGTGCAATGCAGCTGAATGTGGATGATTCAATGTGTTAATATTTTCATTGTATCGGTCCCTAACAACTAAATCCATTATTACTGTTAACTAGGAGGAGTGCTATTGTTCTCCAGTGCGTTGTCCAGCTCAGTGAGAGTATGAGTCAGGGGTGTTGACGTACGTTTGATGACAGAGAGGGAGCACCACTGGACCTTCTTCCAACGGCTGACGACCAGCCACTGGTTGACCTTCTTCACCAGCTCTGCCAGGTGGTCCGGGTCCGACTTCATGATCTGGTCAAACTCCGCAAACTGACCCCGAAACAGGACATCAAGAGAATTACTCAAGGTAATTTGGCCCGATGACATTCATGCACAGACTGTAGAGCATTAAAAAGAAAGCTGAAATCAGTGCTTACCTTCCCAGGGCGGAAGAACACTCTGGTCAAGCCAAACTTGTAGTCATTCTCATTCAGCCCCAGTGCTTTGAACAAAGCCTGCAGAGGAGCAAGAACAAAAACCACCAGTCAAAGTCTTATAAAAGTATTAACATCTGAATAATGCAAGGTTTATATGATATGGAAGGCTGCTTTTGGGGGAGCCCACCACCTTGCAGAAGAGCCTGGGGTCCAGTCGTGTGAGCTTGTCAGGCATATACTGTTTGTACATGTTGTAGAGCTCATGGAAGGGGGCTCGGGAGGGGAAGCCTCCCTGCATCAGGTCCAGAACTGACACCATGCCTGGTGAGGAAAGGGGAGAGAATGTCTTGAAAAGGAACCGAAACCAAAAGTGGTGTGTGTTCGTGTATGTGTGTGTATCCGTCGTAATCTTTAGAACTGATAATGAACTACAGTTTTTTTTATTCTGTGATGTGTTAATAATAGTTTTGAGAGTATATTCTTACTCTCCTAGCCAATACCTGAACACTGCAGCTGAGACAGAATCTGGGCTCCTTCAAACTGGTGGCTAACCATCTTCAAGTTGGGTTTCACACAGCGAATAAAGCTGGAACCCTTTGAAAGACATGTCAATCATATCTATCACATGCAATCTGAGGCCAGCTTCTGACTACCAGTGTGAGATAGAGGACATCAGATATGGCAAAGATACTCACAGTGCTGCGAAGCTTCTCCAGCAGTAAGTTCAACTGGGTCTGTGAAGGCAGGCAGAGAAAGAAGCGTGTTTAATACCTAGTCTGAGTCCCACCACACCACACAAGAAGGTGGTTTGGAGCACTTACAAACAAATTGGGAATATATTTGACGTTGCACATTTACAACTGAAAAAGAGCATTAGTTATAATGCTGACACACCCAAAAGAAAGTTAGACATGCTTCCATGTGAACAGGTGAGGGATAACAGCACACAGAAACACAAAGAACCCTGCATGACTCAGGAGGATTCTCATTGTTCTCAATATGATTTGCTTTCAACAGTCCTAAATTACTTTGAATGTTTTCGCAAGATATATACAACATTTACTGAAACTGTGCCATGTAGATACTTTTATGCAACACAAGAGAATGACTGTATGCAGGAACCAACTTGGCAACTGCTGATAGTACACTTCTGGTCAAAAGTTTTATAACACCTACTCATTCAAGGATTTTTCTGTATTTTTACTATTTTCTACATTGTAGAATAATAGTGAAGACATCAAAACGATGAAATAACACATATGGAATCATGTAGTAACCAAAAAAGTGTTAAACCAATCAAAATATATTTTATATTTGAGATTCTTCAAATGCCACCCTTTGCCTTGATGACAGATTTGCACACTCTTGGCATTCTCTCAACCACCTTAACCTGGAATGCTTTTCCAACAGTCTTGAAGGAGTTCCCACATATGCTGAGCACTTGTTGGCTGCTTTTCCTTCACTCTGCGGTACGACTCATCCCAAACCATCTCAATTTGGTTGAGGTCGGGGGATTGTGGAGGCCAGGTCATCTGATGCAGCACTCCATCACTCTCCTTCTTGGTAAAATAGCCCTTACACAGCCTGGAGGTGTGTTGGGTCATTGTCCTGTTGAAAAACAAATGATAGTCCCACTAAGCCCAAACCAGATGGGATGGCGTATCGCTGCAGAATGCTGTGGTAGCCATGCTGGTTAAGTGTGCCTTGAATTCTAAATAAATCCCAGACAGTGTCACCAGCAAAGCACCCCCACACCATAACACCTCCTCCTCCATGCTTTACCGTGGGAAATACACATGCGGAGATCATCCATTCACCCACAATGCGTCTCACAAAGACATGGCGGTTGGAACCAAAAATCTCAAATTTGGACTCCATACCCAAAGGACAAATCTCCACCAGTCTAATGTCCATTGCTCGTGTTTCTTGGCCCAAGCAAGTCTCTTCTTCTTATTGGTGTCCTTTAGTAGTGGTTTCTTTGCATCTATTCGATGATGAAGGCCTCATTCACACAGTCTCCTCTGAACAGTTGATGTTGAGATGTGTCTGTTACCTGAACTTTGTGAAGCATTTATTTGGGCTGCAATTTCTGAGGCTGGTAAATCTAATGAACTTATCCTCTGAAGCAGAGGTAACTCTGGGTCTTCCATTGCTGTGGCGGTCCTCATGAGAGCCAGTTTCATCATAGCGCTTGATGGTTTTTGAGACTGCACTTCAATGTTCTTGAAAATGTCCGTATTGACTGACCTTCATGTCTTAAAGTAATGATGGACTGTCGTTTCTCTTTGCTTATTTGAGCTGTTCTTGCCATAATATGGACTTGGTCTTTTACCAAATAGGACTATCTTCTGTACACCCCCCTTACCTTGTCACAACACAACTGATGGACTCAAATGCGTTAAGAAGGAAAGAAATTCCACAAATTAACTTTTAAGAAGGCACACCTGTTAATTGAAATGCTTCCAGGTGAATACCTCATGAAGCTGGTTGAGAGAATGCCAAGCGTGTGCAAACCTGTCATCAAGACAAATGGTGGCTATTTGAAGAATCTCAAATCTCAAATATATTTTACTACATGATTCCATATGTGTTATTTCATAGTTTGGATGTCTTCACTATTATTCAACAATGTAGAAAATAGTAAAAATAAAGAAAAACCCTTGAATGAGTAGGTGTTCTAAAACTTTTGACCGGTAGTGTGGAGATAAATATTTTAAACATATTAAAATAAAAAATATAACTTAACTATGTTCCCTTCCTCAAACCATTGCATTTCAATAGATTGCCTCACATTGCCTAACTTTTCAAATTTGATTTGATGTTTTATTAAAGCACATCTGTGTGTCATCAAACGGAATAGATCCCATCTTGCTCTTTTCTCTACAATGCTACACTCAGGTCTTTGTGTCCATGTCTTATGTGATGAATTAGTGATAAAAGCGTCAACTCAAGCATCACCACACACAAACAGACCATAGAGGAAGACAGGTGGAGGAGGAGTATGATAGGAAAACAGTGATGGGTGCTCTGTGTGCATCTGCTGACGCAGTACAGGGTTATTGAAACAATCAACAGTGAGACAAATGGCCTTCTGTCCCTGGCTGACGCTATGCTTCTTCCTGACTGACTTTTAGCCCTGCTGCTACTTTCTCTCGCTCTCTCTGACTTTATCATACCCTTTCTCTAGCTGACTTTATCCACCTTTTTCCACAAAGGAAGGATTTCTCAGGAAAAGAGGTGGGGGACTGGAAGAGGCCTACAGAGGAAAGGAGGGATGGAGGGATGGAAGAACAGTGGCAAGGAGAGGAAAGGCGTTAGAAGTTCAAAGGTCAAAGTTGGAAAATGGTACACAGTTTTCTCTAACATTGTGTCAGAAAACATCTGAAATAAGCAATTGGAAAAAATTATTAGACTACAAACTAAACACCAGGGTTTGTTTCCGGATCAAAAAGGGGCGTAGGGCGTGGCAGGGGGCGAGGCGACTCGTCTGAATTTGAGACAATTTTAGAGGCCCCTATCTTGGCAGTGTAGAGATTGTATTCTTTTTTAACATTTTTTTTGCAAATTTCCTGCAATTCTTCAAATTTCTCAATGTAGCTGAGATACATTTTTGCAGTTTAAAAGCAAATTTCCTGCAGTTCTACATATTCTTCAATGGCGCTGAGAGAAAATGTTGTAGTTTTAAAGCAAATTTCCTGCAATTCTATGCATTTTAACATGGCTAATGCTGTGTTATTTTGCGCAAACATAATAACAAAACCTATACTGCTAAATTCATTGTTTTTAGAATTTTCAATTCTCCCTCACTGTCTTTTATTTCGGTGATTTTCAGTTCTCAAAGATTATATTCTTACAAAATATTTACAGTAGGTCCATTATCTTTTCTAAGTTTACACTGAAAGCGTTTTTTCCAACCCGAAAATGTATTTTCACTGTTTGGACTTGGGCGACCCGAAAAAAACGCTTGGGCGGCTCGCCCAAGTATTTCAATGGCAGAAAAATGAACACACTACTCACTTCAACAGCGAAAGCATTGTGTGATACAATATCAAAACGAGTAAGAATTTCAGGTTTACACAAATTAACTTGAACTAGAAGAATGTATTCCAATCAAAGTGACATCTCAGAGCCAGGTGCTGCTACATTCTCCTTCCTCACCTTGAATTTGTTGCCCACACTGATGAAGCTGAGTTTGCCAGCCTTTTGTTTGGATTCCTTGCTGTTGTTGGAGTTCTCAAAAAGCTCCCTCACAAACTTGTCCTTGGACTCACACACCAGGCTCTCCAAGGACATGTGGAGAGCATCATTATTCTTCTCTACAAACTGGGTCTGCAGACACACACACACACACACACACACACACACACACACACACACACACACACACACACGTACGTACATGCACACACACACACACGTACGTACATGCACACACACGTACGTACACACAAACATATACACACGCATACACAAAACATTCAATAAATAGACTTTGCCATGTGTCCTACTGCTAAGAAGACTATTACCAGCAGCATCTGTATATTGTCCTGAAAAATGTATAAAACACCATGTTTCAGATATAACGGAGTGTTAACAACCAATCATCCAAGGTTAATCATACAAGAGCAAATCAACATATAACCATCGATGTGCGTAACGGTTACCGTCTCGTAGCACACGGCTCCGGCAAAGTGTCTGACGATGAATCCTTCATCATCTCTGACGTTCCTGTGGACAGCCAGCTTGGACTTCCTAGGGACCTGAAGAGACAGCAGCAACATATTACATTAGACCCTCTTTACATAATACACAGTGTCTGTGTATATGTGTTGGTGTGTGTGTATGTGTTGGTGAGTGTATACAGTGGGGGAAAAAAGTATTTAGTCAGCCACCAATTGTGCAAGTTCTCCCACTTAAAAAGATGAGAGGCCTGTAATTTTCATCATAGGTACACGTCAACTATGACAGACAAATTGAGGAAAAAAAATCCAGAAAATCACATTGTAGGATTTTTTATGAATTTATTTGCAAATGATGGTGGAAAATAAGTATTTGGTCAACTACAAACAAGCAAGATTTCTGGATCTCACAGACCTGTAACTTCTTCTTTAAGAGGCTCCTCTGTCCTCCACTCGTTACCTGTATTAATGGCACCTGTTTGAACTTGTTATCAGTATAAAAGACACCTGTCCACAACCTCAAACAGTCACACTCCAAACTCCACTATGGCCAAGACCAAAGAGCTGTCAAAGGACACCAGAAACAAAATTGTAGACCTGCACCAGGCTGGGAAGACTGAATCTGCAATAGGTAAGCAGCTTGGTTTGAAGAAATCAACTGTGGGAGCAATTATTAGGAAATGGAAGACATACAAGACCACTGATAATCTCCCTCGATCTGGGGCTCCACGCAAGATCTCACCCCGTGGGGTCAAAATGATCACAAGAAGGGTGAGCAAAAATCCCAGAACCACACAGGGGGACCTAGTGAATGACCTGCAGAGAGCTGGGACCAAAGTAACAAAGCCTACCATCAGTAACACACTACGCCGCCAGGGACTCAAATCCTGCAGTGCCAGACGTGTCCCCCTGCTTAAGCCAGTACATGTCCAGGCCCGTCTGAAGTTTGCTAGAGTGCATTTGGATGATCCAGAAGAGGATTGGGAGAATGTCATATGGTCAGATGAAACCAAAATATAACTTTTTGGTAAAAACTCAACTCGTCGTGTTTGGAGGACAAAGAATGCTGAGTTGCATCCAAAGAACACCATACCTACTGCATGGGGATGGAAACATCATGCTTTGGGGCTGTTTTTCTGCAAAGGGACCAGGACGACTGATCCGTGTAAAGGAAAGAATGAATGGGGCCATGTATCGTGAGATTTTGAGTGAAAACCTCCTTCCATCAGCAAGGGTATTGAAGATGAAACGTGGCTGGGTCTTTCAGCATGACAATGATCCCAAACACACCGCCCGGGCAACGAAGGAGTGGCTTCGTAAGAAGCATTTCAAGGTCCTGGAGTGGCCTAACCAGTCTCCAGATCTCAACCCCATAGAAAATCTTTGGAGGGAGTTGAAAGTCCGTGTTGCCCAGCGACAGCCCCAAAACATCACTGCTCTAGAGGATATCTGCATGGAGGAATGGGCCAAAATACCAGCAACAGTGTGTGAAAACCTTGTGAAGACTTACAGAAAATGTTTGACCTGTGCCATTGCCAACAAAGGGTATATAACAAAGTATTGAGAAACTTTTGTTATTGACCAAATACTTATTTTCCACCATAATTTGCAAATAAATTCATTAAAAATCCTACAATGTGATTTTCTGGATTTTTCTTACTCAATTTGTCTGTCATAGTTGACGTGTACCTATGATGAAAATTACAGGCCTCTCTCATCTTTTTAAGTGGAAGAACTTGCACAATTGGTGGCTGACTAAATACTTTTTTTACCCACTGTATTTGTTGGTGTGTGTGTATGTGTTGGTGTGTGTCTGCGTGTGAGTGTGTATGAGTGTATGTGTGTGTATGTGTTGGTGTGTGTAGGTGTTGGTATGCAATAAAATGCAAATTAATTACTTAAAAATCATACAATGTGATTTTTGTTTTAGATTCCGTCTCTCACAGTTGAAGTGTACCTATGATAAAAATTAGTAGGAAAACCTGCAAAATCGGCAGTGTATCAAATACTTGTTCTCCCCACTGTATGTGTTGGTGTGTATGTGTTGCTGTGTGTATGTGTTGGTGTGTATGAGTGTTGGTGTATATATGAGTGTGAGTGTGTATGAGTATGTGTTGGTGTGTGTATGAGTGTTGGTGTGTGTCTGCGTGTGAGTGTGTATGAGTTGGTGTGTGTGTATGTGTTGGTGTGTATGTGTTGGTGTGTGTATGAGTGTTGGTGTGTGTGTGTGTTAATCCGTGTGTGTGTGTTGGTGTGTGTGTATGTGTTGGTGTGTGTCTATAAGACCCTCAACAATTTGCATGACCAGCGCTAACAGTATGATTTTACATTGTGTGTGGATACGATTTATAAAAGAATACGCACCTAGCTCTGGTGGTATGGTATCGTGGTTAATATTACATGGCCATAAACAACTGAGAGAATATTCTTCATTTCAATATGAAAGTGATGATTAATATCACATAAAAACCATCTGCAGCCGGCCCAGTCTAATCCTTTGATCTGAATTGATACCAATGCAGCATTTCAAACAGGATTCTACGCCTGTTAAAACGTATAGAAAGAGGAACAAAGGTTCCTTAAGGTACTGGGGCTGCTGGTTCACAATAGCTCTAGAGTTTCACATAGAAAAGGTAGCAGAACGTCTATTAGGATACCATTCTGACCCCTCAGCATGAAGGTCTGGTTAGACAAGGCATTATCAATTGACTAAAAGCTGACCTAAGGTCAGTTTAGCATTTTTCAATATAAAATGGTTCAAGTTAGGATCCAGGGTTGGTAAGCTGATCCCAGATATGTGCCTGCAGACATCTTCCACCCAAAGCTCTCACCGTCAGTCTGAAGTGGTCTTTGTGCTTGCTGTGGACGGCCTCTGCAAAGTGCTGGTCGCTGGGCAGTGGTAGGCGGTTCTCTTCATCCAGAATGTCCAGGATGCCTACCAGCTTGGCTTCCACCAGGTCTATGGGAATAAATAAGATGCATTTTTACGGATGCAGTCAGCAGCACGTTCAGTTCAAGTCCAATTATTGAGATAAGAAAGTTCTTTATTGATCCCCAAGAGGGAAACTAAATTTAAAAGTCCTGTGCTCCTAATGTTGTAATGCCATCAGTGTTTTTAAAGTTTGTCAATGTCACTGTGTGAAGCCATATGCAAAATGTCCACACTGTGTAGACAGTAAAGTTATATTCTATCCTATTCCAGAGAGGAGCGGCCGGTGACTCAATGTTCCCTTTCCCGGAACATTGACAACCTTTGTATCTTTCACTGTGCGGTGTGGTCTGAGGCGTCTGGTGTTCAAATTGGAGGCACAATGCCTTGTTGATCCAGATGTTCATCATAATATCTCCCAGTGAATTATTCATTCAGGACATGATGTTTGGAATAGGATCTGACGGAGGCACACCAATACATTTGCATTATTAGGCAACTGTGCATAACTTGGGGGGAGAATGATTATATATTTAAATGGACATCCAGCAGGTCATTTGCAAGTCATATAAACATTATTCATGGCTGCCAGTTAACCTGGCAGCTGAATAATCATAACTCTGTTTGATATACAAATCTAAATGGTTCACCTTGTCACCAACGGGATGTTTTTTTGTTGTTGTTGTAATTCTCTTTTTATTAGAATGTTATTTTCTTTTAACAGGGGTTACGTAGACAACCAAACAAAGACCACCACACAGACTAACTACAAAGACCACCACACAGACTGAGTACCATAAAAGGAATAAGGATACAGCAAAACATTATACAAAAAGGCAGTCATAGAATGGAGGAATGCATTTATGGGAGGTTTTCTACATAGGACCACAATGGAGATCAGATGTATCAGACTTCTGGTGTAAATGAAAAGGTAGGTTTCTCTAGGGGTAGAATAGCAGGAGCTTGAGTAAGCCACATTCTGGTAGATGGTACTTCAGGTGTGGACCATAATAACAATATGGCTAAGTAAACAAGGGTATTGAACAGACGTTCAGAGTCAGGGTCGAACACAACTGTACAATCAAAGTAGAGCAAATATAAATTCAGTGAAAAAGCAAATAAACCCATTTTGGGTTTCCAACCATTTTATCTGGCCATTTTTATTCTTCAGAAATGTGGTGGGTACTCCCTTCGTTCGCAGGACTTTATCCTGCTAACTGTTCCAAATGTACGAACTGAATTTGGTAAAATAGCTTTTATGTACTCTGCGCCATCGGCTTGGAACGCCTTACAACATACTTTTAAGCTGGAAGAACTTGTCCCGATTGGTGTTTTTAAATCATTGATGAAGGATTAAGGCTGATTCCTTGATCTGTCAATGTTTTTAAATTGCAGTTTTATGATTTTGTTATGCGCCTGTGATTTCTATGGATGTTTACTAGATTACTTGTAGTTTTTCATGTTGTCTGTCTGTAATTGTGTAATGACTTGGTGCTGCCTATCTTGGCCAGGACGCTCTTGAAAAAGAGATTTCAAATCTCAATTAGCCTTTCCTGGTTAAATAAAGGTTAAATAAAATTTAAAAAATTGTCTACCCAAGATCTTCTGGATGTGTAAATGAATATCATTCCAGTAAGACTGGATTCTGCTACAGTACCAAAAAACATGCATGAAGGTGCCAGTATCCTGTTTACATTTTAAACATAAATGTGATGCATTGGAAAACATTCTGTGAAGGCGGACAGGTGTAAAGTAGGTTCTATAAAAAAAAATTACATGTAGTTATTGTATGCTTATGGAGGTGCATTTGGGGTAGACCCTTTCACAGATAGAAGACCAGTCTTCCTCACTGAATGCATGTCCAATGTCTCTCTCCCAAACATGTCTCAACGCATCATAGGATGAGGCACTTATGTTCAATAAAATAGAATACATGTCAGAGATTAAACCTCTCTGAACAGTAGTTTTTCAACTTCAGTTATAATGAAAATGTCATTTATCGACTTTCTTCTGACCCGCAGTAGGGAATGAGTCCAAACGGTTTCAGACAATCTCCGTTTCTGGAAAGTGCGAGTGCTCAGTGGAGGGCTACATCTCCGCCAGTCTGCACCTCTGTCAGTCTCTCTCTGTCAGTCTCTCTCTGTCAGTCTCTCTCTCTCTGTCAGTTTGTATCTCATCATGTATTGTGTGAGCCTTAAACACACAGGGATTCAAGTTCATCATATATTTCTATATATTACTCCAAGTCCTCCTGCTGCTGGAGATTTCCACTCCAATCTCTGCAACGCACACACACACACACACACACACACACACAATTCTCCTTGCCTCTCCTTCTGTTTGGTTCTTAGAGGCCACCCCTAGTCAGACCCAAAAAGAGATCTCATCTCTTTCCTTCTAAAGCCAGGCCAGAAACAGATCCCATCTCTTTCCTTCTAAAGCCAGGCCAGAAACAGATCCCATTTTTTCCTTCTAAAGCCAGGCCAGAAACAGATCCCATCTCTTTCCTTCTAAAGCCAGGCCAGAAACAGATCCCATCTCTTTCCTTCTAAAGCCAGGCCAGAAACAGATCCCATCTCTTTCCTTCTAAAGCCAGGCCAGAAACAGATCCCATCTCTTTCCTTCTATAGCCAGTCCTTGCCTTATGTTTGACCTTGCAGCTTACAGTACAGGTACGCGTCACCTAGAGACTTGTTGTCAGTGTGCTGTCCCACATATTAAAACAGCCAAATAGTTTAGGAGCTGCTCTTGGGGAGTTAAACCTTCCACCCTGATGAGTTGAGATATTGATTGTGTGAGAACCAGGCTCTGGGAAATGTCCTGGCTTCTATGTAGATATACTGTAAGATTTTGGGGTTATGTAAGAGCTCCACCATAGAATGAAATATAGCATAGAAATCTCTATGGGCTTCACAGCCTACTGCAGAAGAAATACACAACAAGATCTGTCTAATAATATATAGACCCATTTCCCTCCCAGCTGTGTCATGAAAGGTTGTGAGCGCAGTTCTGCCCCAGAAAGGGGCTTGTTTATGGAGTCAATACAATAACATCCAACTTCAAATGCAGTTCAAGTTATCAAAACACGTAATCGCAGATTTCTTCGGAGGATTGAACACCTAGCAAACTACCAAACTTAATGGTTGTGAAATCTGTTGTGAAATGTAATCTGAAATTAAATCTGTTTTGAAATGTAATCCGAAATGAAATCTGTTGTGAAATGTAATGTAATGTATACAGTGGGGAGAACAGGTATTTGATACATAGCCGATTTTGCAGGTTTTCCTACTTACAAAGCATGTAGAGGTCTGTAATTTTTATCATAGGTACACTTCAACTGTGAGAGACGGAATCTAAAACAGAAATCCAGAAAATCACATTGTATGATTTTTAAGTAATTAATTTGCATTTTATTGCATGACATAAGTATTTGATACATCAGAAAAGCAGAACTTAATATTTGGTACAGAAACCTTTGTTTGCAATTACAGATATCATATGTTTCCTGTAGGTCTTGACCAGGTTTGCACACACTGCAGATTTTGGCCCACTCCTCCATACAGACCTTCTCCAGATCCTTCAGGTTTCGGGGCTGTCGCTGGGCAATACGGACTTTCAGCTCCCTCCAAAGATGTTCTATTGGGTTCAGGTCTGGAGACTGGCTGGGCTACTCCAGGACCTTGAGATGCTTCTTACAGAGCCACTCCTTAGTTGCCCTGACTGTGTGTTTCGGGTCGTTGTCATGCTGGAAGACCCAGCCACGACCCATCTTCAATGCTCTTACTGAGGGAAGGAGGTTGTTGGCCAAGATCTCGCGATACATGGCCCCATCCATCCTCCCCTCAATACGGTGCAGTCGTCCTGTCCCCTTTGCAGAAAAGCATCCCCAAAGAATGATGTTTCCACCTCCATGCTTCACGGTTGGGATGGTGTTCTTGGGGTTGTACTCATCCTTCTTCTTCCTCCAAACACGGCGAGTGGAGTTTAGACCAAAAAGCTCTATTTTTGTCTCATCAGACCACATGACCTTCTCCCATTCCTCCTCTGGATCATCCAGATGGTCATTGGCAAACTTCAGACAGGCCTGGACATGCGCTGGCTTGAGCAGGGGGACCTTGTGTGCGCTGCAGGATTTTAATCCATGACGGCGTAGTGTGTTACTAATGGTTTTCTTTGAGACTGTGGTCCCAGCTCTCTTCAGGTCATTGACCAGGTCCTGCCGTGTAGTTCTGGGCTGATCCCTCACCTTCCTCATGATCATTGATGCCCCACGAGGTGAGATCTTGCATGGAGCCCCAGACCGAGGGTGATTGACCCTCATCTTGAACTTCTTCCATTTTCTAATAATTGCGCCAACAGTTGTTGCCTTCTCACCAAGCTGCTTGCCTATTGTCCTGTAGCCCATCCCAGCCTTGTGCAGGTCTACAATTTTATCCCTGATGTCCTTACACAGCTCTCTGGTCTTGGCCATTGTGGAGAGGTTGGAGTCTGTTTGATTGTGTGTGGACAGGTGTCTTTTATACAGGTAACGAGTGCAAACAGGTGCAGTTAATACAGGTAATGAGTGGCGAACAGGAGGGCTTCTTAAAGAAAAATTAACAGGTCTGTGAGAGCTGGAATTCTTACTGGTTGGTAGGTGATCAAATACTTATGTCATGCAATAAAATGCAAATTAATTACTTAGAAATCATACAATGTCATTTTCTGGATTTTTGTTTTAGATTCCGTCTCTCACAGTTGAAGTGTACCTATGATAAAAATTACAGACCTCTACATGCTTTGTAAGTAGGAAAACCTGCAAAATCGGCAGTGTATCAAATACTTGTTCTCCCCACTGTATATATCCAGGCTCTGTCATAGCCGGCCGCGACCAGGAGACCCATGAGGCGGCGCACAATTGGCCCAGCGTCGTCCAGGGTAGGGGAGGGAATGGCCGGCAGGGATGTAGCTCAGCTGGTAGAGCATGGCGTTTGCAACGCCAGGTTTGTGGGTTCGATTCCCACGGGGGGCCAGTATGAAAAAATAATGTATGCACTCACTAACTGTAAGTCGCTCTGGATAAGAGCGTCTGCTAAATGACTAAAATGTAAATGTAAATGTATATAACTGCCTTAATTTTGCTGGACCCCAGGAAGATAATGGGGATAATAAATACAAATACCGAGCCAGCAAGGCAAGGTCAAATATCCCAAATAGAGCTAGATAAAGCCAGAAGAATAATATACTTGTTGATCACAGCTATAGCCATCAGTCTTGTGTTTTCATGGTCATCACTCATTCACTGATAAATTTGTCAAGGTCCCATCACTCGAACGTGATGTCTGCTTGTAAACAAAAAATGGCTCTATGGAGTAAGGTGAACATGGTTTGGCAGTGGCACCCACCTATGCAGTCCTGGTTGTCGACATAATGAACTTCACGGACTCCCAGTCCCTCCTTCTGATACAGCTCTTGCTCCTGCAGAAAGAATGGCAAGTCAACACTGAAGTAGGAAGATGTTGCTCCTAAGCACTGGTGCTGGGTAAGATCTTTTTTAATCCTCCTAATACACTGCTAAAAAAAATAAAGGGAACACTTAAACAACACAATGTAACTCCAAGTCAATCACACTTCTGTGAAATCAAACTGTCCACTTAGGAAACAACACTGATTGACAATACATTTCACATGCTGTTGTGCAAATGGAATAGACAACAGGTGGAAATTATAGGCAATTAGCAAGACACCCCCCAATAAAGGACTGGTTTTGCAGGTGGTGACCACAGACCACTTCTCAGTTCCTATGCTTCCTGGCTGATGTTTTGGTCACTTTTGAATGCTGGCGGTGCTTTCACTCTAGTGGTAGCATGAGACGGAGTCTACAATCCACACAAGTGGCTCAGGTAGTGCAGCTCATCCAGGATGGCACATCAATGCGAGCTGTGGCAAGAAGGTTTGCTGTGTCTGTCAGCGTAGTGTCCAGAGCATGGAGGCCCTACCAGGAGACAGGCCAGTACATCAGGAGACGTGGAGGAGGCCGTAGGAGGGCAACAACCCAGCAGCAGGACTGCTACCTCCGCCTTTGTGCAAGGAGGAGCAGGAGGAGCACTGCCAGAGCCCTGCAAAATGACCTCCAGCAGGCCACAAATGTGCATGTGTCTGCTCAAACGGTCAGAAACAGACTCCATGAGGGTGGTATGAGGGCCCGACATCCACAGGTGGGGGTTGTGCTTACAGCCCAACACCGTGCAGGACGTTTGGCATTTGCCAGAGAACACCAAGATTGGCAAATTCGCCACTGGCGCCCTGTGCTCTTCACAGATGAAAGCAGGTTCACACTGAGCACATGTGACAGACGTGACAGTGTCTGGAGACGCCGTGGAGAACGTTCTGCTGCCTGCAACATCCTCCAGCATGACAATTGAGCACATCTGGGACATCATGTTTCGCTCCATCCACCGACGCCACGTTGCACCACAGACTGTCCAGGAGTTGGCGGATGCTTTAGTCCAGGTCTGGGAGGAGATCCCTCAGGAGACCATCCGCCACCTCATCAGGAGCATGCCCAGGCGTTGTAGGGAGGTCATACAGGCACGTGGAGGCCACACACACTACTGAGCCTCATTTTGACTTGTTTTAATGACATTACATCAAAGTTGGATCAGCCTGTAGTGTGGTTTTCCACTTTAATCTTGAGGGTGACTCCAAATCCAGACCTCCATGGGTTGATACATTTGATTTCCATTGATAATTTTTGTGTGATTTTGTTGTCAGCACATTCAACTATGTAAAGAAAAAAGTATTTAATAAGATTATTTCATTCATTCAGATCTAGGATGTGTTATTTTAGTGTTCCCTTTATTTTTTTGAGCAGTGTTTTTAAGGTTAGAATTGGGGGTAGTGTAGATCTGTCAACACTCATTACTTACTGAATCAAGTACAACCCCTTCTGAAAATTGCATTTTATTTCTTGAAAACATTTTTATATTTCTGGATCATTTCAGGCCAACAAACACAAATATCTCTGTTTGATCTAGTTCAAACGCTGTGAAAATGCCTTAAAATTCGATTTTTGATTGTAATTGGAGACCTTTGCAAATCAATGAATAAAACAGGAGGCTCCAGTAGAGAAGAAAAAACCCTGTCATCTCCACAGACAAAAATATGACCATTCTAATAAATGTAATGTAAGAGTGACTCTTCTATGGAGAGATCACACAGGCTGTGTGTGTCTATGTGTTGCGTGTCACACATTATTAGCTTGTTGACCGACATCCTCCTGGGTCTTCAGTGGGAGTCCAGAGCTTAAAGAACACTAGCAACACACCTCCGCGCCCCCAACAACTCTCTCTCAAATCACTCACCTCTTTCAGTATTCGCTCATTGAAGAACTGCTGCAGCTTCTCGTTGCAGTAGTTGATGCAGAACTGCTCAAAGCTGTTGTGCTCAAAATACTCTGGGGGGGGGGGGATGAAGAATGCTCATCTTCAGGCTGTTACTGGTACTCAATATATCAAATTATGTCAGTTAGTCAAGTTTTTAGAAAGAGAAGAGATAAGAGGCCATGCAGATAAATGAATGGTTAGATGGCTAGATAGAAAGACAGACTCACAGAGAAACAATCAGACAGAGAAACTCACTGCTCTAGAACTACATACTTACCGAAGCCAGCGATATCCAGCACCCCAATGAAGTTGGAGGTGGTGCTGAAGGGGAAGCACTGGTTGACCCTCCTGACCACGTGATCGAAGAGGCAGCTGTACACGGCCTTGGCCAGGGCGTCCCGGGCGTTGTTAGCCTGTTCCACCTTCAGAGGCACCCTGGGGGGAAAAGACAGTGGGGCACTGAGAGGCCAAAACTGTGACAAGGCAACTCCTTAATAAAAATACACCTTTTTAATCAATGCAGCCATTTCTCACTCCAGGTTTATGTGCAAAGAAAGTTGGAGTTGTTTCTTAATTAGTATTTACAGGATGGTATAAGTGGGTTTTTTTCTAAGACAAGGAGGTCACAGGTCAAAAGAGACACCATTAGAAGTGACTGTACTAGCTGAAACCTGGCTCACCATCATTACCATAGCACTCTCCAACACCATTTGGCTTCAATTATTCAAAGTGGTTGATGACTATGAAAAAACTGGAGTTCTTCTGAACTGAACAAGTTCAGCTATGGTGTAGCACCCCCCATCCTGCACCCAGTCTCATGGCTGGTATCTAACATGGTGGACTGGAATACTATTCAAAATGTAAACATTCTCTTCTGGACAGGCTTAGGGCTGAAGCAGCAGGTTCAGAGCAAACCTTTGACCTGTTGAAGTCAGGCCTAGGAACCATTTCTGCTCACTTCCCACCCCTCAACATATTCTAATCAATAATCTAGTCACGATCAGCCTTCTTAAATGGGTCTCCCCATAGACCTTAGCCACTCCACTTCAGATCCAGAGACACCAGCCACTCAGTCACACACCCCCACACCTCCCCAGGATAAGGCCAAGTGTCTGGGCCCCTAATGACATGGCCCAGCCCCCCTTTCCAGCTGCTTTCAAGGCACCAGGCACCAGGCTCCAGGCTACCCTCAGATACAGCTGCATTATTCATGGTGAGAAAAGACTCTGAGGCCAGGCTGCATCTGGGCCTGTTGAAATATTCACTGTTTCCTCTTAGGACCTCTGCTTTGAAACAGCCTTCTAGGAACACTGTGAGCTCTATTCAATTCAAATCAAATCAAATGTTATTGGCCACATGCGCCGAATACAACAGTGTTAAGACAAAAAGAGCAGAAGTAAAATAAAATAACAGTAGGGAGGCTATATACAGTGGGGAGAACAAGTATTTGATACACTGCCGATTTTGCAGGTTTTCCTACTTACAAAGCATGTAGAGGTCTGTAATTTTTATCATAGGTACACTTCAACTGTGAGAGACGGAATCTAAAACAAAAATCCAGAAAATCATATTTTATGATTTCTAAGTAATTAATTTGCATTTTATTGCATGAAATAAGTATTTGATACATCAGAAAAGCAGAACTTAATATTTCGTGTTGGGACCTTGACAAATTTATCAGTGAATGAGTGATGACCATGAAAACACAAGACTGATGGCTATAGCTGTGATCAACAAGTATATTATTCTTCTGGCTTTATCTAGCTCTATTTGGGATATTTGACCTTGCCTTGCTGGCTCGGTATTTGTATTTATTATCCCCATTATCTTCCTGGGGTCCAGCAAAATTAAGGCAGTTATATACATTTACATTTACATTTTAGTCATTTAGCAGACGCTCTTATCCAGAGCGACTTACAGTTAGTGAGTGCATACATTATTGTTTTATTTTTTCATACTGGCCGCCCGTGGGAATCGAACCCACAAACCTGGCGTTGCAAACGCCATGCTCTACCAGCTGAGCTACATCCCTGCCGGCCATTCCCTCCCCTACCCTGGACGACGCTGGGCCAATTGTGCGCCGCCTCATGGGTCTCCTGGTCGCGGCCGGCTATGACAGAGCCTGGATATATACAGTGGGGAGAACAAGTATTTGATACACTGCCGATTTTGCAGGTTTTCCTACTTACAAAGCATGTAGAGGTCTGTAATTTTTATCATAGGTACACTTCAACTGTGAGAGACGGAATCTAAAACAAAAATCCAGAAAATCATATTTTATGATTTCTAAGTAATTAATTTGCATTTTATTGCATGAAATAAGTATTTGATACATCAGAAAAGCAGAACTTAACATTTGGTACAGAAACCTTTGTTTGCAATTACAGAGATCATACGTTTCCTGTAGGTCTTGACCAGGTTTGCACACACTGCAGCAGGGATTTTGGCCCACTCCTCCATAGACCTTCTCCAGATCCTTCAGGTTTCGGGGCTGTCGCTGGGCAATACGGACTTTCAGCTCCCTCCAAAGATTTTCTATTGGGTTCAGGTCTGGAGACTGGCTAGGCCACTCCAGGACCTTGAGATGCTTCTTACGGAGCCACTCCTTAGTTGCCCTGGCTGTGTGTTTCGGGTCGTTGTCATGCTGGAAGACCCAGCCACGACCCATCTTCAATGCTCTTACTGAGGGAAGGAGGTTGTTGGCCAAGATCTCGCGATACATGGCCCTATCCATCCTCCCCTCAATACGGTGCAGTTGTCCTGTACCCTTTGCAGAAAAGCATCCCCAAAGTTTCCACCTCCATGCTTCATGGTTGGGATGGTGTTCTTGGGGTTGTACTCATCCTTCTTCTTCCTCCAAACACGGCGGATGGAGTTTAGACCAAAAAGCTATATTTTTGTCTCATCAGACCACATGACCTTCTCCCATTCCTCCTCTGGATCATCCAGATGGTCATTGGCAAACTTCAGACGGGCCTGGACATGCGCTGGCTTGAGCAGGGGGACCTTGCGTGTGCTGCAGGATTTTAATCCATGACGGCGTAGTGTGTTACTGATGGTTTTCTTTGAGACTGTGGTCCCAGCTCTCTTTAGGTCATTGACCAGTTCCTGCCGTGTAGTTCTGGGCTGATCCCTCACCTTCCTCATAATCATTGATGCCCCACGAGGTGAGATCTTGCATGGAGCCCCAGACCGAGGGTGATTAACCGTCATCTTGAACTTCTTCCATTTTCTAATAATTGCGCCAACAGTTGTTGCCTTCTCACCAAGCTGCTTGCCTATTGTCCTGTAGCCCATCCCAGCCTTGTGCAGGTCTACCATTTTATCCCTGATGTCCTTACACAGCTCTCTGGTCTTGGCCATTGTGGAGAGGTTGGAGTCTGTTTGATTGAGTGTGTGGACAGGTGTCTTTTATACAGGTAACGAGTTCAAACAGGTGCAGTTAATACAGGTAATGAGTGGAGAACAGGAGGGCTTCTTAAAGAAAAACTAACAGGTCTGTGAGAGCCGGAATTCTTACTGGTTGGTAGGTGATCAAATACTTATGTCATGCAATAAAATGCTAATTAATTAATTAAAAATCATACAATGTGATTTTCTGGATTTTTGTTTTAGATTCCGTCTCTCACAGTTGAAGTGTACCTATGATAAAAATTACAGACGTCTACATGCTTTGTAAGTAGGAAAACCTGCAAAATCGGCAGTGTATCAAATACTTGTTCTCCCCACTGTATACAGGGGGGTACCGGTGCAGAGTCAATGTGCGGGGGCACCGGCTAGTTGAGGTAGTTGAAGTAATATGTACATGTGGGTAGAGTTAAAGTGACTATGCATAAATCCTTAACAGAGTAGCAGCAGCGTAAAAAGGATGGGGTGGGGGGGCAGTGCAAATAGTCCGGGTAGCCATGATTAGCTGTTCAGGAGTCTTATGGCTTGGGGGTAGAAACTGTTGAGAAGTCTTTTGGACCTAGACTTGGCACTCCGGTACCGCTTGCCGTGCGGTAGCAGAGAGAACAGTCTATGACTAGGGTGGCTGGAGTCTTTGACAATTTTGAGGGCCTTCCTCTGACACCGCCTGGTATAGAGGTCCTGGATGGCAGGAAGCTTGGCCCCAGTGATGTACTGGGCCGTACGCACTACCCTCTGTAGTGCCTTGCGGTCGGAGGCCAAGCAGTTGCCATACCAGGCAGTGATGCAACCAGTCAGGATGCTCTCGATGGTGCAGCTGTAGAATTTTTTGAGGATCTGAGGACCCAAGCCGAATCTTTTCAGTCTCCTGAGGGGGAATAGGCTTTGTCGTGCCCTCTGCATGACTGCCTTTGTGTGTTTGGACCATGATAGTTCGTTGGTGATGTGGACACCAAGGAACTTGAAGCTCTCAACCTGTTCCACTACAGCCCCGTCGATGAGAATGGGGGCGCGCTCAGTCCTCTTTTTTTTCCCTGTAGTCCACAATCATCTCCTTTGTCTTGGTCACGTTGAGGGAGAGGTTGTTATCCTGGCACCACACGGCCAGGTCTCTGACCTCCCCCCTATAGGCTGTCTCATCGTTGTCAGTGATCAGGTCTACCACTGTTGTGTCGTCGGCAAACTTAATGATGGTGTTGGAGTCGTGCTTGGCCATGCAGTCATGGGTGAACAAGGAGTACAGGAGGGGACTGAGCATGCACCCCTGAGGGGCCCCCGTGTTGAGGATCAGTGTGGCAGATGTGTTGTTACCTACCCTTACCACCTAGGGGCGGCCCGTCAGGAAGTCCAGGATCCAGTTGCAGAGGGAGGTGTTTAGTCCCAGGATCCTTAGCTTAGTGATGAGCTTTGAGGGCACTATGGTGTTGAATGCTGAGCTGTAGTCAATGAATAGCATTCTCACGTAGGTGTTCCTCTTGTCCAGGTGGGAATGGGCAGTGTGGAGTGCAATAGAGATTGCATCATCTATGGATCTGTTGGGGCGGTATGCAAATTGGAGTGGGTCTAGGGTTTCTGGGATAATGGTGTTGATGTGAGCCATGACCAGCCTTTCAAAGCACTTCATGGCTACAGACGTCAGTGCTACAGGTCGGTAGTCATTTAGGCAGGTTATCTTAGAGTCCTTGGGCACGGGGACTATGGTGGTCTGCTTGAAACATGTTGGTATTACAGACTCAGTCAGGGACATGTTGAAAATGTCAGTGAAGACACTTGTCAGTTGGTCAGCACATGCTCGGAGTACACGTCCTGGTTCTCCGTCTGGCCCTGCGGCCTTGTGAATGTTGACCTGCTTAAAAGTCTTACTCACATCGGCTACGGCGAGCGTGATCACGTAGTCATCCGGAACAGCTGGTGCTCTCATGCATGCTTCAGTGTTGCTTGCCTCGAAGCGAGCATAGAAGTGGTTTAGCTCGTCTGGAAGTCTTGTGTCACTGGGCAGCTCGCGGCTGTGCTTCCCTTTGTAGTCTGTAATAGTTTTCAAGCCCTGCCACATCCGACAAGCGTCAGAGCCAGTGTAGTACGATTCAATCTTAGTCCTGTATTGACTCTTTGCCTGTTTGATGGTTCGTCGGAGGGCATAGCGGGATTTCTTATAAGCGTCCGGGTTAGAGTCCCGCTCCTTGAAAGCGGCAGCTCTACCCTTTAGCTCAGTGCGGATGTTTCCTGTAATCCATGGCTTCTGGTTGGGGTATGTATGTACGGTCACTGTGGGGACGACATCATCGATGCACTTATTGATGAAGCCAGTGCTATCTGAAGAATCCCGGAACATGTTCCAGTCTGTGCTAGCAAAACAGTCCTGTAGCTTAGCATCTGCGTCATCTGACCACTTTTTTATTAACCGAGTCACTGGTGCTTCCTGCTTTAGTTTTTGCTTATAAGCAGGAATCAGGAGGATAGAGTTATGGTCAGATTTGCCAAATGGAGGGCGAGGGAGAGCTTTGTATGCGTCTCTGTGTGTGGAGTAAAGGTGGTCTAGAGTTTTTTTTCTCTGGTTGCACATTTAACATGCTGGTAGAAATTAGGTAGAACGGATTTAAGTTTCCCTGCATTAAAGTCCCCGGCCACTAGGAGCGCTGCATCTGGATGAGCGTTTTCCTGTTGACTTATGGCCTTATACAGCTCATTCAGTGCAATCATAATGCCAGCATTGGTTTGTGGTGGTAAATAGACAGCTATGAAAAATATAGATGAAAACTCTCTTGGTAAATAGTGTGGTCTACAGCTTATCATAAGATACTCTACCTCAGGCGAGCAAAACCTTGAGACTTCCTTAATATTTGATTTAGTGCACCAGCTGTTGTTTACAAATATACACAGACTGCCACCCCTTGTCTTACCGGAGTCAGCCGTTCTATCCTGCCGATGTAGCGTATAGCCCGCTAGCTGTATGTTGTCCATGTCGTCGTTCAGCCACGACTCGGTGAAACATAAGATATTACAGTTTTGAATGTCCCGTTGGTAGGATAACAGTAATCTTAGGTCATCCAATTTATTCTCCAATGATTGAAGATTGGCTAATAGGATTGATGGGAGTGGCTGTTTACTCGCTCGCCGTCGGATCCTTACAAGGCACCCCGACCTACGTCCACGATATCTCCGTCTCTTCCTCACGCGAATGACGGGGATTTGGGCCTTGTCGGGTGTCTGTAGGCACACCCGACAACTGTCAAATGCACGTTAGTTTGCAATTTCGTCATGTAAAAACTGTCATTTTCCATCCTTTACTCCAGGTTCGTTACCTGTCTAACATCAGCTAGCTTGCGCTGAGGTGGGAGGAGTGGAAATATTTGAGGTGTGTCCTTACTAACATTGGTCAATATGCCAATCTCATTGAGCGCAACTAGGGATATTTAAGAACGACCAAAAGCTGGTCTTAGCAGTAACGCAATTGGTTGTGGAATTGATTTTGCTAGCGGAGGCACACACACAGTAGCCTTATGTACATCACCAATGTTTTATAAAAATATCTTGAGCAGCAAAACATTCAGACTTTCCTATTTCTTATTTATATTGGACATGATTTTTGTCCAGCTTCTGTGAAACATTTTGACTCATTATGTGTGATTCCCATTGCATGAAATGTGTCAGTGACTGTAGGGAGCATGTTAAGGAACATCAAGTTATTTGAAAATACTTCTTATAGTTTCTCCATTTATGCATCTTCCACTTTCCTCTGTTGGACCCAACTGTCAAATCGCACGAATTTTACAGTTCTCGTGGCAAAGTCACTGGGCTCCCGAGTGGCGCAGCGGTCTAAGGCACTGCATCTCAGTGCTTGAGGCGTCACTACAGACCCCCAGGTTCGATTCCAGGCTGTATCACAACCGGCCGTGATTGGGAGTCCCATAGGGCAGTGCACAATTGGCCCAGCATCGTCCGGGTTTGGCCGGTGTAGGCCATCATTGTAAATAAGAATTTGTTCTTAACTGACTTGCCTAGTTACATAAAGGTTAAATAAATAAAAAACTGGCTACATCAACGGTGATGGTAGGCTACAGCTATATATATTTGGGAGCCTCCTTCCTTCTCTTTATATTGCCTCTTTTTCCAGCTCCTGTCAAAAGTTTGGATGTGTAAAACCCTACATAGTCTACGCCTAATATTATATGCCTACAGGGCGCAAGTATGGTGCCTGTAATCATTTAGACAAAGCCTATTTAAAACAAGTTGTTTCTTTTTATTAGAATCATTCACTGTCTTTTTAGGTCTTATCAATAGTGAATTTAATCTTGCTTATTGACAACGTTTGGCATGTCTATGGCTCAGACATAATGCATTTTACAGCAGCTCTATATCAGTGTGAATGCTATGTTAAAAATATATTTCCATATTGAAGCCATGCAATTACTGTTCAAAAACACATTCAGCATATTTAGCAGAACCTATAGCGCTACCGCCATCGCTTAGATTTTCCATTGCGTTAGGTTTGTTGAGCCCTGAGTGTATAAGAATTAATCAAAATTAATCGTAATTTGTGAATGGCCAGAGATTAGTATTGAGTAAGAGAAATGATTGAGTGCTCATTCCACATGCACTTGAATGGAGGATTTAATTGTGTGTATGGGTTACGTCACATAAACAGCTTTATAGCATACTCAAGACTAGATCCACAATGTACCAGTCTTAGTTAGGTTTTAAGCCTTTCCCTCTTATGCAATCCATCTATATAAATAAGGGCTGCTAAGCATGGCACAAATGGGTTTAAATGCCAACAGGACTATTAATGTCAGCCAGTGCCACAGTTGATTAAACAGTATAGATGTAGCCTATAAGATTAGCCTCTTTACTGACTGTGTCCATCGCAATCAGAGTTGAAATGGGGAGACGCCAACAGACAGAGCATTACCCCTCACAGTCACTGTATGGGCATACGGTTTTTTACGGCTGGCCAACGAAAAGTGTAATCTTTCCTCTTTTCACAAGTCTTTAAGTCTCAGCTCCCCATACCAGAGTCCTGCACTGAATTCTGAAAGATATGAAACTCCCTCTGGCCCATGCCCTCAATGCTTTGAAACCCTTGAGGGGAGTGAAGTGTACTCATGGGGGAAAAGGGTATAAAATCGGAATTCAGCGCGCGTCTTCTTCACCACTAAAGCACAACGTTGACCCTGGCCTAGACCGTTAGATAAGGGCATGATGCTAAGTGCAGCAGTAGTAGATTTACAATCAATTAGGATTTTACAATTTGATGATCTATGATTGTAAATTGGTGTACAATTCAGTCTATGACTGCGAGAAACCAATAATACCTACTAATCTAATTTAGAGGTTTTCTTACTTGATAACTGTTCCTTTGGTGCCTCCTGCTGTGGTGAGCATGACCCTGGTGGTGAGGCTGACTCTCAGGTCTTCCTGGTCCAACCCCAGCAGGTCAGCACAGTAGGCTAGTGTCGGACTGGACTGGTTCATCAGGATGCAGCCGCCTGGAAACACACACACAGGCACAAGTAGACGCGCATATGCACCATGTAATCTCACACACAAATGATTGGTGCGCACACAAAGAAACAGGCAACTTCCATCATGCATCTTCAACTGGATTTTGGATGGATTTTACTTATTTATTTCTGATGCCTAGTGCTTGAATACAGCATCACACGGTGAATACATGCCACACATTCTGCAGAAGTAACGGCTTCATTGCAGGCAGTGAAGTCGGCCTAGATAATGTCCTGCAGAGGCAGGAAGATGGTCTGATGGAGGGAATTGTTGGTAGTCTCGGTCTCGTCATTGTTGGTAATCAAGCCTACTACTGTTGTGTTGTCTGCAAACATGCTGAGGACGCAGCTAGGGATGCCGTCTGGGCCGGTAGCCTTGCGGGGATTAACATGCTTAAACGTCTTACTCACGTCGGCCACGGAGAAGGAGAGCTCACAGTCCTTGGTAGTGGGCTGCGTCGGTGGCACTGTGTTATCTTCAAAGCGGGCGAAGAAGGTGTTTAGCTTGTCCGGAAGCAAGATGTCGGTGACGTGGCTGGTTTTCCTTTTGTAGTCCGTGATTGTCTGTAGACCCTGCCACATACGTCTCGTGTCTGAGCCGTTGAATTGCGACTCCACTTTGTCTCTATACTGATGTTCTGCCTGTTTAATTGCCTTGCGGAGTGAGTAGCTACACTGTTTATATTCTGCCATATTCCCAGTCACCTTGCCATGGTTAAATGCGGTGGTTCGCGCTTTCAGTTTTGTGCGAATGCTGCCATCAATCCACGGTTTCTCGTTAGGGTAGGTTTTAATAGTCACAGTGGGCACAACATCTCCTATACACTTCCTGATAAACTCAGTCACCGTTTCAGTATATTCGTCAAAATTATTTTCGCAAGCTACCCGGAACATATCCCAGTCCGCGTGATCAAAACAATATTGAAGCGTGTATTCCGATTGGTCAGACCAGCGTTGAATAGTCCTTAGCACGGGTAATTCCTGTTTGAGTTTCTGCTATAGGAAGGGAGGAGCAAAATGGAGTTGTGGTCAGATTTGCCGAAAGGAGGGCGTGGGAGGGCCTTATAACCATCCCAGAAGTTCGAATAGCAATGGTCGAGAATTTTAGCAGCCCGTGTACAACAGTCAATGTGTTGATAGAACTTCGGCAGCCTAGTCCTCAAATTTGCATTGTTAAAATCCCCGGCTACAATAAATGCAGCCTCAGGATATGTGGTTTCCAGTTTGCATAAAGTCCAGTGAAGTTCTTTGAGGGCTGTCGTGGTATCGGCTTGAGGGGGGATATACATGGCCGTGACTATAACCGAAGAAAATTATCTTGGGAGATAATACGGTCGGCATTTGATTGTGAGGTATTCTAGGTCGGGTGAACAGAAGGACTTGAGTTCCTGCATGTTACTACAATTACATCATGAGTCGTTAATCATGAAACAACCACCTACGCCCTTCTGCTTCCCGGAGAGATATTTATTTCTGTCTGCGCGATGAACTGAGAACCCATCTGGTTGGACCGATTTCAACAGAATATCCCGAGAGACCCATGTTTCTGTGAAACAATGTATGTTACAGGCCCTGATGTCTCTCTGGAAAGAAATCCTTTCCGAGCTCGTCGACCTTGTTATCCAAAGACTGAACATTAGCGACTAATATACTTGGAAGCGGTGGGTGGTGTGCGCGCCTCCTATGTCGAACCAGCAGGCCGCTCAGAGTGCCTCTCCTCAGACGGCGATGTTTTGGGTCAGCCGCTGGAATCAGTTCAATTGCCCTGGGGAGAGCAAACAAAGGACCTGTTTCGGGAAAGTCGTATTCCTGGTCGTAATGCTGGTGAGTTACCGCCGCTCTGATATCCAATAGTTTTTCCCGTCTATATGTAATGATACAAACCACTTTCTGAGCTAATAATGAAAAAAAAAAATGAAAAAAAACTAAAATACCTCAAAGTTTCCTAAGAGCTAGTCGCGAGGCCGCCATCTTCGTCGGCGCAAGGACCCATCGCACCGTGCAATGTTCCAGGTAATATCTGCTCTCCAGGCTGTACTCTAGTACATCATCCATCTTAAGCTTGAATCATGACTTTTCCCATCTGTCAGATGCATTTCAGCACTGGGTCTGAGGTATATTATAGGAGAGTGGTTTCAGATGAGCATGTCCTTTTTAATGGGTCTACTTCCAAAGTGGGACAGTGAGACCCTACAGAGAAGAATGTGTCAGCAAGGGGTGGGGAGTAGAGGAGAGGAGACGAGAGTAGTGTAGACGAGAGGAGAGGAGACGAGAGTAGTGTAGACGAGAGGAGAGGAGACGAGAGTAGTGTAGACGAGAGGAGACGAGAGTAGTGTAGACGAGAGGAGACGAGAGTAGTGTAGACGAGAGGAGACGAGAGTAGTGTAGACGAGAGGAGAGGAGACGAGAGTAGTGTAGACGAGAGGAGAGGAGACGAGAGTAGTGTAGACGAGAGGAGAGGAGACGAGAGTAGTGTAGACGAGAGGAGACGAGAGTAGTGTAGACGAGAGGAGAGGAGACCAGAGGAGAGGAGAGGAGAGGAGAGTAGTGGAGAGGAGACGAGAGTAGTGTAGACGAGAGGAGAGTAGTGTAGACGAGAGGAGAGGAGACCAGAGGAGAGTAGTGGAGAGGAGAGGAGAGGAGAGGAGAGTAGTGTAGACGAGAGGAGAGTAGTGTAGACGAGAGGAGAGGAGACCAGAGGAGAGTAGTGGAGAGGAGAGGAGAGGAGAGGAGAGGAGACCAGAGGAGAGGAGACCAGAGGAGAGGAGACCAGAGGAGAGGAGAGGAGACCAGAGGAGAGGAGAGGAGACCAGAGGAGAGGAGAGGAGAGGAGAGGAGAGTAGTGGAGAGGAGAGGAGACGAGAGTAGTGTAGACGAGAGGAGAGTAGTGTAGACGAGAGGAGACCAGAGGAGAGTAGTGGAGACGAGAGGAGACGAGACGAGACGAGAGTAGTGTAGATGAGAGGAGAGTAGTGTAGATGAGACGAGAGTAGTGTAGATGAGAGGAGAGTAGTGTAGACGAGAGGAGAGGAGACCAGAGGAGAGGAGAGGAGAGGAGAGTAGTGGAGAGGAGACGAGAGTAGTGTAGACGAGAGGAGAGTAGTGTAGACGAGAGGAGACGAGAGAGGAGACCAGAGGAGAGTAGTGGAGAGGAGAGGAGAGGAAACTAGAGTAGAGGAGAGGAGACTAGAGTAGAGGAGACTAGAGGAGAGGAGACTAGAGAAAAGGAGAGGACACTAGAGTAGAGGAGAGGAGACTAGAGTAGAGGAGACTAGAGTAGAGGAGACTAGAGTAGAGGAGACTAGAGGAGAGGAGAGGAGAGGAGAGGAGAGTAGTGGAGAGGAGAGGAGAGGAGAGGAAACTAGAGTAGAGGAGAGGAGACTAGAGTAGAGGAGACTAGAGAAAAGGAGAGGACATTAGAGTAGAGGAGACTAGAGTAGAGGAGAGGAGACTAGAGTAGAGGAGACTAGAGTAGAGGAGACTAGAGGAGAGGAGAGGAGAGGAGACTAGAGGTGAGGAGAGGAGAGGAGAGGTGACTAGAGGAGAGGTGACTAGAGGAGAGGTGACTAGAGGAGAGGAGACTAGAGGAGAGGAGAGGAGACTAGAGGTGAGGAGAGGAGACTAGAGGTGAGGAGAGGAGACTAGAGGTGAGGAGAGGAGACTAGAGCAGAGGAGACTAGAGGAGACCTCCTGCCACATTAGAGAAACTAAACTAATCAAGGGATTCAGTTCTGGTGTAAAGGACGTCAAACTGGCAGCACAATAACAGGACTAATAAGCACCATTAAGCGCCTCACGGTTCTCCCCAGGATTTTTTAACAAGGTGCTGCCGAGTATGGCTGCGGTGGGAGGCCCGGAGGGGGGCAGTGCCCCCCATTGGACGCAGTGATTGTTGCGTTTTTTTAACACCTGTAACTGCCATTTCCTGCAATCTAGAGCCCCAAAATACAATATTAGGGTGTGGTGCCTGGCCTTAAAGGATAACAAAACCCCAAAGGTATTTGTTTTAAAATGTTAAAAATATGTCTTTATTACATAGAGGCACAGCCAGTCTACAAAGTGGCACAATGCAACTTACATTCTTTGGGGAGAACCCTGCACCTGTATGTGTATCTGCGTAAGTGTGTGGACATTCTAATATTCCAGAGAGCTACACCAAGAGGGTTTTCACACCAAACTGGTTTGGAGCGGTTTACCGAACTCTGGTGCGTTTCCCTCCTCATTTTGGTTTGGTTGGACTGGTGTGAACACACTATCCACACTTGGGAGTGCACTAAACAACGCACAATGGTTCGCTCAAAAGGGTGGTCTCGGTATGATTCAATTCGTACCGCGGTTCGCTGCAGGTGAGAATGCGGTCCGTAAAAAACACAGGAAAAGAACCAGAGTCGCACAGTATTATTGGTTGTTTGACTACGAGCATTTGATTAAATGCACACAGCATCATAACTTGATATGGCTGAAACATTCTGAGTATAGCAGCACATTTATGAGCGGATCCGGGGGATATAGGCTACTGAATATAGCCTATTCATGTCCTATGTTGTTGGAAGACCAAAGCGAAAGTAATATGATGTTTGGGACACAAAAGTGATTCTTCTTGATAATCATAGATGGATTTAACTTGAGCATTTTGGGCCAATAAACAAATTACTAGCATGGACAAGTGGTTTTGTTTAGGTGTTTTAGTTCGTTTGACATTTGGCAATGTGAAATCAACCGAACCAAATGAAAAAAATTTAATGTAACAAATAATCAAACTGATTCGAACTATACCTTAGAACTATGTGAGAAAACTCCTTAACAGAGAGGTTGTGTATGTAACTTTATTTACCCGATGTGCTCCCAGTCTCCTCAAAGTCGATGTTGCCCAGGTGCAGCACCCCGGCCACCACCCTGAACAGGTCCAGCTTCTCCGTGTCATCAAGGCCAATTTTCTTCATGGCCCCGCACATCCTGTTGAAGTCTCCC